ATCTTGCGTTGCCAGTAAAAAACTGTTGGGCGTTCCTGTTCTCACTCGATATAAATTGCAAATGACCGCAGAAAGTGTGCGGCAATTGACAGTGTTTGCTTTAGACGGAACTGATGGAGGAGACGTGTGTGAGGAGATGTGTGCTTTGGTGGAACGAGTGTGCGAGATGTTGCATGTGTTCGAAAAAAAACACAAGACGGGATTTTTTTTTTTTTTTTTGCGCGGCACTCTCTGACTAGTACAGCACAAAGACATCTTTGTTTAGCGCTAGTAACGTTTAGGCGCAGGGCTAACGCAGTTCCACGGGAAAGGACACGGTTTGGTATGTGTTCGTATTATCACCTTCTGGCAGGAGCACATGATCAGAATTTTTATGGTTCGCGGTTTTTCATTTTCAGGTCCCTAATTCGTTCTGGCTGTACAATGCTGATCGGAAACCTTCCAGTATTCCTTCGGGCATTGCAGCTAGCCAGGCCACCTCCTCTGACGCATTTTTCGGGAACCTGTGCACTCCGCCGCGGGGTAGCCTTTCACGCAGCACCGGACGCTGCATACCCCCCCCCCCCCCCCCCCCGCACCCCACCCACCCACGTCACTCACAAAAGTCCACTGCGTGACCTTTTCGAGCTCACACCGTTTCGAGGGATTTGAGATCGCTGAAAAGGTCCTAGAAGGACTTCAAACTCGAAAGTGAAACGCCGTTTGCTCACACAGCGGTAGGCGGCACGCACGGAGAAGGCCAGTTGAACGCGAGCGAACACGACACTTCCCGTTGGGGCGCTTCGGAGGCGGGAGAACTCGAGTTGCAGGACGACTCAATCTTTGACGTCACTGCACTGGCGCGGATCTCTCGGAAACTTCAAAATCGGCTTTTGGAATTTTTTTTTTTTTATTAAACAAATATTGAGTTTCCGAGCTTTGACGTTCCCAAACATCAAAATATATGATTTTAACGTGTCACTGTTTTTTTAAAGTAGCGGTGCAACGATTTTTGTACTTTGGTTAAATACTGCTTGGAACGGATCCCTGACGTTAATGACCCGTGAAACACCCGTTCGTTTTTCACCACACGCAGTCGAAGTCGCAGAAAAAAATTGACGAAAAACGAGCAGCGTTCACCTCGTCAACTCGCAGCCAGGGCAAGAGGCCACGTGGTCTGGAGCCGATTATACGCCGAAAATGTTGATCGTAGCCGCGCGCTGGGGGTTGGCAAGGCACAGTACATACGCTGGGTTCCAGACAGTGTTATCGTTCGGCTAGTGTCGTCATTGCAGCGATTGGACACTGGCCACTACCCGAATGCCTCTCGAGCTATCGATCATCACGAGCCGGAATCGAGTGCCCGCGCAATGCTCGGGTCCAATCTATGAGCCCCATTCAAATATCGTCACTGGGCGAAGTTTGGCGAAGGAGATTGAATGGAAACGTTCGCTTTTGTCTTTGAAATTACACCGCAAGAAAGAAGTTTCCTGGCCTGTGGCTTTGCGTGCGAGTATCCTTGAGTCCCATTAGTGACAGTAAACTCGTGTAAAGTAATAAAAAAAGAAATCTGTGTTTTGCGAAACACTAAAGCTACGAAAATAAAAATACAAAAAGGGGGTGCAGAGGTGTCCTCCACTCCATGGGTTGTTTTTTAATTTTTTTTTTTTTAGGGGGAGTTTTAAATTGGGTTTCGCTCGGCTCTGGGCGTCTGACCCACTATGAACAGGGGAAAAAAAAAGGGGGGGGGGGGGGGGGGGGTTGTTGTAGCTCGGCGATGGTATGTCCAAATGTGAGCTTACTTTGGCAGGGGCTGGCGGCAGACAGTTTTATTGGAGGCCACGCGTGGCCGTCTCCTTTTGAGGACCCGAAAAGGGCAGGGCGGCTGCAGAAAAAGAAAGACCCCATTGGTACGCTGTCGCCCTGGTTTCTTTCTTCTTGTTGCTTTCCTCTTTCTTGACACCGTGTTCTCCAGGACTTCTGCCCAAGGCGTAATTGTGCATGGCGGGTTTTTGTTTTGTTTTCAATATAGGGATTGGTTTCGGGAGGCGAGATAAAAAGATAGGTCGGGGGATCCTTGGGGCGCGTGCGCTTTCCGTCGCGTGCTCTAAAACAACCCTGCTTCGCTCCTTTTTGCTTGTCAACCGCCGTCGGTAGGGTCCCTTGAAAAGAGCCGACACACGGAAAGCGCCTCGAGCTTCGAGAGAGGGGTTCGTGAAATAACTTCGTCCCTCTTTCTTTTTTTATGTTATCCTTTTGAGCATTGTTCAGAAAGGGAGGTTTTTCGATGTTTGTATCCGCTGCAACGTTTTGTTCTTCGAGCGGTGCGCGACTCTTCCCGGGAGGCGGCGTTTTTTTGGAATTGTCTGCTAGCGCCGCGGGCGTAGCAGACGACTCGTGCCTTTTTACCGGTCGCGGATTGGTCTCTGCCGCTGTCAAAATGACCGCGGCTTCTTTCATTCCTTGGAGGGTCTATTTCTGCTTCGTCTTGATGTTTTTGTTGTTTTTCATTCCTGTCACCGAAGAAGCGGGGAAACAAAGTTTGCGGCGGTCAGTTTCGCGCCTGCGATCGAACCGTGAAGGTGGCGCGTCCGGGATGTTCCCCGGATAGTTTTTGTCTCCGGCGTTCGAAGTTGCGGGAGCATGGAGTTGTTTTCTCGGACACCCGAATTCGTCGATTTCGGCGGATTTTGCTTCGGACCATGCTATGGTCCGGCTGCCTTCATTCTGGGGCTCTTCGGGTGAGATTGAACTCTTTTTAAGCGTCGTTTTGGACTACAAGTTTGGCCGAGATATACGAGGAGTCCTCGTTGTCTGCTACGGCGGCTGCTACTTTTCCTAGCAGACGACTTTCGCGCTGCTTTCAGTGTTGCCTAGCGGTAAATTGTTTGGTGATCGCATTTTCGAATTTATTTTTAAATATTGAAAATGATAAAATCCCTAATCAAAACTCCTTAAAAAAAATGTTGCGTTTTTTGTTTTTTTGTTTTTTTGCAAATATGTTTGCGTTGTTTGACCTAACGCACAAGGCATAACTTTTTCGAAGATTTCCAAATTCCATCTCTTTTGTCCTATGGTGTAATCAGTTCACTTAAGTTGTCGGGGCTCATCAAGCTGTTTACCACTATACTTTTTTCCCTTGTCACCTTTTCAACATTTCTTTTTTTAATAAAGGTACTATTAATGCTTCACAGCTACCATATAATCTCGTCCTTCTCGCGGATAATTTATCTTTTGTGTTGGCATTAAACTTTTTAGATGGCTGGGCGCTAATTACGTCATATTATATAGTGTTTTTACATCATTGCTTTGTTATGCTCACCTCTAAAATAAATATTTGTCGCTCGTAAAGCAAAACAAAACAAACAAACAATACATCCTGGTTGCCGGCCTGAGAAGAGCGCTTCTCCCTTTGCCTTGTTGCACTGCGGTGAGGCGGCAAACCCCGGACAAATTGCGATTTTCCTGAAGCTTTGAGGCGCGTTTTGCATCCTAAGGTCATCTATCCATCGACAGTTTCCGGAAACTTGTAGTCAACTTTAAAAAGAAGTTGGGCAGTCGAGACTTTGCAAGAGCCAAGGAAACATATAAAGTTGTTTTATGTGTCAAGTTATTTCTCTTAACTGAAATGGGATACCATCAGAGTCGGTGTTTATGAATCTTAGTGCTGTCTTGTTATTGGTGGTCTGGGAGGTTTGATAAAATAGCCGTGGAGTGCAGAGATATAGCTCACAATACATTTTTACGCAGCTCGTTATTATTTTCTCATTGCGTTGATTGTCCACGAGTGCCTACTCACTTGACTTCAGTCATCTATCCACCCGCAGCTGGCCACATGCCACGAAGGGTCATCGAGAGCTGATCAGGATTAGTCTAGAGATGGAGCAGGAGGGGGGGAAGGGAATGCATGGTGGCCATATTGTGCGAGAAAGAGGGGAGAGGACAAAGGTTTATGAGAGTGCATCACGATAATCTGGTGGGCTAGTTGGTTGATCATATTGTTGAATTAACAGCGCAAATACGACAGGAAGGAGAGACAAGGGAGACAGGATAGAGCGCTGAACTAATAACTGACGTTTAATGAAAATGAGAAGGAGGAAGAAGAACCGAAAAGCATTCTTCGGTTCTTCTTCCTCCTTCTCCTTTTCATTAAACGTCTGTTTTTAGTTCAGCGCTCTATCCTGCCTCCCTTGTCTCTCCTTCCTGTCGTATTTGCGCTGTTAATTCAACAATAGGTTTATGAGAGGTGTATGGAGGAATGAGAGAAGGCAGGTGACATATAGTGAGAGGGGCAGCATAAGGAACAATGCATTCATTTCATGCTATTAGCTTGATCATTAATCATTGGCAGTGGTTTCTGGGAGTGTTTTCTTCAAGGATCAGGGAAGATTGGCAAATATTACAAGGTTTGCACCTGCAGTCATATTGGGACATGGCAGTGCGACGAGCCACAACCCTCTGTCAAATTGTATGCGAATGCAGTTTATGTATGAAGTATTAGTCATACTTATATTTGGCTGCACGTAAAGCAGGGTAGCATGCAGACTTGTATGTTGTGCATGACAGGCAACAAGATTTCAACTCTTTTTTTTATGTGTATTTCATAGTTGCTTTTTTTTTTTTTTTTTTTTTCCTGTTTAAATTATTTGTGTACGATAATAAAGTTATCCCAATAAAGTGATCTGAGATTGTCCAGATAATGCAGAAATTATCTGCTTTTCAGCCAATTAATTTTTTTTTATAAGAACTTAGAGAGTCTTCTATAACCCAAACAAACAAATAAAGGTCTCAGTTACTGCATTGCTTTAAAGACGAGGCCTGGCAATCCTGTCACATAGCACAACTAATAAAAAAGTGACTGCTTTTTTGTTTTCTTTTGTAATTGCAGTGTATTTTTGGTTTTAAGAAATGAAATTTGAACACTTTAATTGTAAGCAATATAAATTTGACCAAAAATTACATGCATAAGAAAGATCCGGTGATGAACCAAGCTTTCCCCCTCCCCCATTTTCCACTTCCAGGGAAGAACAAGACGACGGAAAGAAGAACCATGTGGGTTCCAAAATCTCGCCCAAGCTCACGCGGTTTCGTCTTCGAGGGCTCCAAGCAAAAGACACATCCAAGGACCTTGATGCCTCCCAGAAGTCACCTAGCGACCAGAGGAACACCCTGGATCGTACATCGACGGCGGGCGACGCTCGAAGAGCTGCGCCTGCTAGAGACTTTTCCTCATCTGCAACCTCGTTATTGCCATCTGCAAATTCCTTATCATCGTCTGCTACCTCGTTTTCGCCGTCTGCAACATCATTTTCATCGTCTGGTGTAGTGGCCGGCAGTGCTCCAGCCAAGAACTGCGTGGTGGTGGTGTCGGTGAATCATGGTGCATCCGAGGACAGTGACCATGAGGTCCTGGCGGAGGACTTGGCCGCGGAAGAGGTGGCGACGACCATGGAAGTGGTGACCATGGAGGTGGAGACGACGGTTGAGGAAGAAGACGGCGGGCGCTCGGCGGACAGTGGCTCGACACAGGACGACTCCAGTTTCACTTCGGCTACGGATAGCCAGGCGTCGTCCAATGACGGTGAGTCGACCCGACTTCGGGCTTCTTGCGTCTTTTTGAAACTCTTTCCGGACTTTATGAACTCAGAAGTGTGTATTGCTGTGGGGTTGCGAATTGTGCCTGGTTAAAAATAACCGTTGTGTATAACTGGAAATTTCCAGTTGGTACCAACTTGGAAACGATCGAGTTTAGTCGTCATTCACTTCACGAATTGTTCATTCCAAGTGGATTAATTTTTTTAATTGGTCATACCATTTGGAATCTTCGAAGTCTAGTTGGCACTGAGTCAATTTATGAATCATTCCAATTAGCTTGCAGTTATTCAGTTGGGGATATCAATTAGAATCAATGGATTCCAGCTGGTACTGAGTGAACCGATAGACCTCTTGCAAAATGTATAACGCCTCGACGACAGGGAATTTCAGGAACCCTCGGTACGGGTCACGCGCTTTGTCGTTGCGACTGCGCGTGAGTCGCGGCAGCTACCGCCAGCAGTCGTTGCACTCATCCGCCAGAAAGTCGTCCGTCGTTGGCGGCATACTGCATCTGTGGCAGCTAAGCGCATCGCGACAGGTGGGGCTTTCCACTTATTTGAATACGTTATTCGTCGTAACTTACCTTCACGTCTTGCAGTGTCACGAAATACACTTATTTTGCACTGCAACAGTGGGAAGGTTCGGCTAGATTCAACAAAGCATTGGTGCAGCAGACGACAGAGCCGGTACAAAGGAGAGGGATGAGAAATGGGCAGCCTCACAAGATAGCCAACGCGATACCCCTCTCCATTTCCATGCGCTCGTCGCTCGTCCGACTTTGCTTTCGGCTGCTCGAACATTATTGTCACCATGGTAACCTGCACCTACTCGCTTATGCCACGTGGTAGTGGGACGAAAGACGATGGGAAAGGCATACAGAGGACTCTCATTATTCGTTGCACAGCGCGCGCGGGCTTTTGGGATTTTTCCAAATGGTCTTTTGGTCAGTCCATTGGGTTACATTTTTTTTTCAATACTGTTACAAACACTTTCCATTTGGCACATGATCTACCAGTTGGCCATACACCAATTGAAGTGAATATTTACAATTGACAGTTTATCCACCAGTTGTTTCCAACTGACAGGATTAGAACGGAGGGGGGGGGGGGGTAGATCCTTTAGCGTGATCGCGCTTCGTACCTCCGATAACAATTTGGCGCATCACGACGCTCAAGCATGCACTTGCAGCCAAAGCACAATGTAAGAGACATCGAGCATGGAAAGACGCCTCACCATTCTCATCTTGCCAGTGACTAGAGTAGTAGTTGTTTTATAAAGGAATATAGAGTAATTTTGTGAACAGTGGTTGTCTGATATTTCAGTTTATGGGGATAATTTTAGGCTTTCTGAAATTGATAGTGTTTTTGTGATTTTTGGGGGGATCCGGAAGGTAGGCTTTTTCGTCAATATTTTAGACTACCATCAAATTCTGCGGACCACTGACGCCACTTTCACTGAAAAGTGGGTTAATCTAGACGTGGGTGCTTTTCCGGTCAAATCGGGAGTCATGACATATAATTTGGAGATTTTCCAAATTTGAGAAATGTTAGTTGTGGGCATTTGAATGAAGTGGGCTGTTTTCTAGGTTTGTTTCCCAAAAAAGCATATAGAAAAAGTCAAACTACAAAGAGAAAAAAAAAATATTTTGCAGTGTTTTCTACTAAAATGTTATGGTGGGCTAATTGGATAAGCATAATGAACAATAAATAGTGCGAAGAATGCACACAGTCGAAGAATAAGGATAGAGCGCTTGTCCGTGTGTATCGTTTGTGCTATTTATTGTTCATTTTTTCATTTCTCGTCGAGTGTTTGTGCAACGATCGCTCGAGTGTGGTGATGGTGTCTATTGATTGTTCTAGAACATACTCCAGTTTCAGAACATGTGCTTTTACTGTGACTACATCTGGCCAAAGCGGCTCTCAGAGCTGCAGTCTTGTGCCTGTTTTCTTGTTAGGGTTGCTACAGGGTTATCCCTTTTTCGTCTTCACATTCTGAATATGTTGCCATGGCAGTTTCCATGCATATCCTTTTGTGTATGTAACCTCTGAAGCCTTGTCAACCGCAGATGCAAGTTTCACTGAATGTCCCTTTCATATGGGTTAGAAAAAACATTGAAATCATCCCAAGAAAGTGGTACTTTTTTAACCTCCTTATATAATGTCGTGCATTAGTAAGCCATATGTAAAAATTTTTTACACTTTATATTTACTATGACTTCTTCCTGATGAAGTTAGAAGAACAAAACATGTAATGCAACAACCTTCAGGTGGTCCTTTGTGAGGTCACAAAGTGAAAACCTGAGTAGTATCAGATTTATCAGCTGTCAATTTTGATTGATTTTGTAACTTGAACTTTGGTAGCTTTCTCAATATGTTTACAGCTGGAATGAATTTGTGCAAACGTTCACATTATAAAGAAGTCAGTTAAGACACAAGCTTTATGGATTGTGTTTCTTTTAATAATCTATAGGTTTAATCTCCTTTTACACCCAGTATGCTGTCTCCTGATGTTGCATTTTCTTGTTCCGGTGGCTGGTATTCATAATTGAATGTTCGGATTACATCTAGTGGTGGTCTGCGACAGGAGCATGTGTGGCTTTGGTGGTACTACCACTGTGGTGGCTATGCACCTGCTCCTACTGAATCATCTCTCTCTGTACAGAGCTCTTACTGGGGAATGATTTCAGTCCATTTTGGTGGAACAGAGGGGAAGCTTCGGGGTTGTGACATATATGACTCTACACATGTCAACTTGTTTCTGGTACATTCACGAGGCTAGCACGATTTACACAGAACTGCAGCCCCACATTGCTGCGAGAGCATGTTGTTTCATCTTGCATCTCATTCGCATTCACTCTCATGCGACTGAGACAGCAAACGGCTTTAGATGCGTTGAAGCGCTGTGCAAACTGCACTAGCCTTGACAATGTGGGCAAATACATGGCGCTGAGCATAGACCAGTGAAGAGTAAACCTTCTGCGGAATGTTGGACACCCATCCACAGCCGAGTGACTCGGCATCTTTCGCCTGGGTGATAAGCGTCGGAAAGGTGTATGTAGTCTGTTGCAGGTCAAAGGGCAACTACAGTCAATTCCGAAAATTCTGGGATTACGAGCGATTATCATGTCAAAACTACTAATAACGGTTTATGTCATTCGTTTTTCGAAAAGTTATATATAGCTTTCTTGCAAACCTTGCAAAACCAAAACCTTGCTTGTAGCAGGCAACATTTTTCCTGCCCGTCAACTACTGGACATCACGTGGTACGGAGACGTCGGCTATGTCGTCAGCGAAAGCGGCAGACGGCACCCCACACTCTCTTTTTTCTCTCTCGACCTCGCGCTCTGCGCCTCGAAAAGTAAGAAGCAAACAAAACAATTCTGCCAGTTGTTGACGTTCCAGACAGTGTTGACTGTGTCCATGCAGCAGCATTGACTGTGCTGCTCCACGCATCGCCCGCTAGATTGGGCGGATTTTGGTAATTGTGGAGTTGCTCCAACCTTGTTGGCCGGTTAGGCGGAATTGCGTCATAATATTTTACGTGTACGCTTTTCAGAGGATGCAACGTGGACTGCATTGTTTTCTCAACATAAAAATTTGTCCGGAATTGCCATTAAAATAAAAGCAGGACAATATCTTCCCACAAAGCCTTCCACTCTTTTCACCTTACCAGAGCGAACACAGACAATGAGGCGAGTGGAGAGAAGGAAACAACCAATTGTAGCGAACAGAATGCTTTGGGGGAGGGGCTTGTTCCGCTTTTCGAAACCTGCTTCTTAACCCATAGTGGGGGATGCGACGAATTTTACATGGGTGTATTCTCTTTCTTTCTCTCCTCTGTCGGGGGACAGGACTGACTGTCAAGAGACGCAGGGGCAGGCCCCTGAAGGGCTCCCAGTCCCCCAAGGTGTCGGGGGCGAAGACGATGGAGTCCGCCGCTTCCTCAAAAGTTCCGGCGACGCGCCGAAGCGTCAGGTTGCGCAGCGGTGACGGCCAGCGCTCCAGCAGTCCCACGCCGGCAGCAGCCAAGAGAGGACGCCGTAGTAGGACACCCAAGGGTCAAGAGCCGGAGCCTGCCAAGCAGACGACCAAGAGGCACCAGCAGGAGACTGCCAAACGGACGGCTAGGGAACCCACCAGGAGACAGCAGCAGGAGGCGGCTAAAGAGGCTACTAGGGTACCAGCTAAAGAGCTGGCCAAGAGACATCATCAGCCCGATGTTGCGAAGGAGACCGCTAAAGAGGTGGCTAGGGAGCCAGCTAAAGAGCCGGCCAAGAGACAGCATCAGCCCGATGTCGCGAAGGAGCCCGCTAAAGAGGCTGCTAGAGAGCCGGCTAAGAGACAGCATCAGCCTGAAATCGCGAAGGAGACGATTAAGAGACAGCATCAGCCGGAGCTCGTGAAGGAGACAGCTAAAGAGACGCCTAAGAGAAAGGAGCCAGCGGTGGTCAAAGAGACACCTAAGAGGGAGGAGCCGGCGGTGGTCAAAGAGACGCCTAAAGAGATAGCCAAGGTGCCGCAGCCTGAGTCAGCAAAAGAGGTGACTGTGGAGGTACGTCAAGACATTTCTGAAGACTTAGCTGACAGGCAGCCTGAGGCAACAAGGGAGATGGAAATGGTGGTTGTCGAGAAAGCTTCCGGTCAAACAGATGTGAAGGCGTCCGAAGAGACAGTTAAAGAGACTGCCAAGGAGACGTCTAAGGAGACGGCTCAGGAGACATCGGAGGAAGCTGTCGAGACGAAGCCTGGAGTTCCACCCAGTATAGTGATGACGGAGCCGGTGGAAGAGGAAGTGTGCACTCTTGGTGAGGTTGAGGAGGAGGAGAAGAAAATCAGTGAAGAGGAGACAAAGGTTGAGGCAACCAATGCTGGTCAGGTCATGGATGTGGTGATGGAAGAACAGCAAGGAGACCAGAAGGAGGTTGTCATGAGACTCGAGCCACTGTTGGATACAGAAAAGGTACTAGCCTATGTTCTCTTTTTCCGTGTTCCTCCCTGGACTAAATTTTAATGCGTGGTTTGAAATCATACTTTTACCTTATCAGTCATGACATACACCAGATGTTTAGCTGAGGCTTTTTGGACGTTTTTTTTTATTGTGCTAAATTTAGAAGGAAAAAGATCTGCTAACTGATGGTTGTTTGCTAGCACTGCATCTGCTTTTGCTATGGCAATTTATGTAAAATCTAACCTTAACAAAAAGAAAGTTAGGATGTCACCATTTCAATGTTCCACCATTCCTTTTCGTTGGTGGTGGATACAGTCTTTTGCTACATTATCCAAGCACCAAGGTGTAGGTGTAGCACTAGGGTGTAGTTTTTTTTTTTTTTTTATCCACCTGTTGGCACCTGGAGTAATAACTGTTCTAAAGTAAAAACTTTGGAGACAAGTGCCACTTCGCACATGCATCTGTGGGTGCTTTATTTTGATTATTTCCTTCTAGTCATGTGCAAATAGTGGTGAGTTCGAAGCGAGTTCATAGCGAATTGTGGTTTTGGCCAAGTATACTATTCGAATTGAATATTGAATATTTTTTTCAAGCCTTTCACTACTGTTGCACTATGTTTAAAAGAAAGAAAACCAGCTAGACTCGTGAAGGTTGTTCCCTGGCTTCCACTTGTTCATTTATAAGCTATTTTTAGTCCAACTACCTATACTTATGGACTGTGACCTCAAAAAGCTTGATGCCTTGGGATGGCAAGTAAGTGATGGATTTTATTAAAAATTTAACCTAAAGAGGTGCCCAGCTATACGTAACTGAGTGGATTTACAAATCTTGCTGTATGCAAATATTCTTCAATATCAAATTAAAAAAAAAAAAAAAAAAGTGATGAATGCAGGTTGTCAGGGCATCTCTGCCTACCATATATGCTTGCGTAACAGCCAGTTTATTTTATTTAGTTAGAGTGACCCACAAACAGCTTGACGCCTCATTAGCGGTGCACTTATCAGTGTCAGATAGTAGTAGTCAGATTGTTTAGACACGACAAAAGAGAATGGAAAGTTAGCACAAAACAGTGGTAGCAACACACTTTCTAAATTTTTGTTCTTCATCAAAAATATCTTCGCTAACATTCTTGCAGGTCTGTTCTAAATGATTATACGTCATTTGAAGGCGTGTCATGGGTGCTGCGTGATATAAATCAGAAGGATAAAAAAAAAAGTCTAATAGACATACGAGGGACGTTCAAGTAGACGTGACATTGCAGTGCTGGTGAATTAATGGTACCATTTACAAACTTGTATAGAAACATCAATCCACGGATCGTCCTCTTGTTGTGCAATGTGTCCAATTTCACGCGGTCACAAATCCTTTTGCAACTGTAGAAAATTCTGTTGAAAATATAACCGAATTATTAATTTTGAAAATTTTACTGCAACGTAGATATCAACATTCCCGAAGTTTACGTTCCTTTTTAAATAGACCAGGCGCGCGCTTTTTCTCCCAAGCACGGAATTGCAATATTCATACTATTCCAACTGTTAATCGCGGTTGGGTTACTCCGTTAAATGCACTTCTTACTGAGCATCGGTGCACAACAGAGAAGCAACAGCCGCGGAGATAGTTTCTGCGGGTGTTGCTTTTCCGCAGCGTTCCTATGCTCGCCAAGAAGCGCAGGAGCTAACCCACTGCAATCAACACTTCGGAAAATATGAATATCAAAGTTCATCTCGAAGGGAATATGGAATAGTGTATTATTAAAACTACTACTCGAAATTTGGAATATTGGTACAACACTATTTACTTCATATTTTAATTTCATAGTGATGAGGGTAGCACGTGCAGCGTGTGTATGTACGTCCCCAGCATTGTACTTGGCGGTCTTGTAATTTGGAGAATTGTTTATTACGATCAGCCAGTAGACTATCAAAATGCAAAATAACAAGAGTTTGCAGTCAGTATGAGTGACGTCTGTTATAATTAGGGTCCTGTGTTTTTGGATGAATCTGGAAAACTGCTAAAAATACACGAAGGTCCAATTCTTGTCAATATCAATTTATCCGATATACTTCATATCTCGAGGTCACAATGTCAAAAAAAGAAAACCAATAATCTACAAATAGGTTTGGTACAGTGTCAGTCAGTAATCCTGAGTAGATGCCTTTCTTTCAAACCTCAGACTACTAACAAGAGGGATACCATTTGTCTCCTCAGGTGTCCCATTCAGGGCAATGGGTCATTGTACTTCGTATGTAAAGCAAAAAAGAAATTGAAAGACACCCGGGCCTCTGAATTTCACAAAAAATGAACTCCGACAACAAGGAATCCTTGTTATAATTTAGTGTCTGTATGTGTAGTTTGTGACTCATCTTTTGCCCATCCTTATCAGCGGCGCGAGGACAGACTCAAGAGCGACTGCTCGGACAGCAGTCCAGAGTCGCTCCCGGCGACCAAGGTTGAAGTCAAAGAAGAAGACGAAGTCGTTGCCGCGACCGAATCTGGAACAGCCGAGCCGCCGCAGCCCCGAGCCCAGCCCGAGTCCGAGACAGTGTCCGAGGTCGAGGCGCCACCCAAGCTTGAACAACCGGTTTCACCCAAGCCGGAACTTGGTGACGCGTCCGAACCGAAGTTGACTTCACAGCCGACAGAGTCCAAGACAACTTCGAAGCCGGAAGTGGAGCCGACAGCAAAGCCGGTTGCCGTCGTCGAAACGGCCGAGCACACGACCACGGACGAATCGAAGAAGATCCGCGATTCAAAAGTGGGGGAAGAGGGCCCGGATCTGGAAGCTGAGGAGGTCAGGGCCGTGTCTGCGGATCACAGGGACCGTCGTTATTACAGCAGCCCCGAGAAACCGACCGTGAGCCAGGTGAGTTGAATCATTTGTTGCGGAAGTGTAGGAGCTTCGTGTCCCTGGTATTTTGAACGGCACTGAAGCTCCGTGCCGTTCGAGTGATCACCCGATTGAGAAATCACATTAATCCGACCAGAACCCAATAAATTTAGTAGCTCGATATTTCACGGCTTCTAAAGCAACTTCGTCACCCCAATAGATATCTGCATCGTAAAATGCTGAGGTTTTGGGCTGTAAAATACTGTAAAATACCGAGCATGTACCTATGACGAAACTTGACGTGAGAGCAGCAGTGCAATTGAAGCAGGCTCGATGAGGGTGGCGCAGCTGCACTAAAAATTGGGGTTCTATCAGACCCCTATACTGCTTCTATACTGTTCATACAGGATCAAGCCTACCCTACTATCTGCCCCTTCTGCTGTTCTGCTCCCATTCCTAACAGGCGCCCGCCCTAATTTTTTCACGATTATCTCCGACTTTTGCTCGGTGTTTTACGGTAGTATCCTTCAGCATGATTGTGCGCAGGTCAGTTCGAGAACGCTTCGTTTCTAGCATATTTGTGGTTAGAAAACCTCGAAAACAAAAAAGGGAGTGACTATTTCGACGTCTATTTTCAAAACATTTATAAGTATTAGTATCTTGACGTCCGTGACGCCGCTTCCCAAAGACGTGAGAATATTTTAAAAATCATTTTGACGTCCCCTGTCAAATTATATTTAATTATTTTGATGCCCTAAACTTGGTGGCTTCAGACTGGAAGGTGATCGAAATTGGGTCAGTGGCGGTAAAAAATAAATAAATATATATATTGCCTTGCTTGCAGTTGGTGTTGCAGTTCAACACACATTTTCCGACGAGTCCCATGCAATCGACTGCAGTGGCAATGCAAAAAATCTTCTCAAAAGTACAACTCGGCTCGTTTGCATTCACAGCGCTTTATTACAGCGACAGATGTTATAAGTTCTTTCCATCGCTAGAAACGACATCCAGTGTTGCAGTTAATTCTTGTCGTCGTGAATGTTGAAGTTGACATTGTGGGGCGTCCTTCGCCGATGCTGCCAAATCCTTCAAAAAGATTGCCCGCTGCCGGCAAAAATCGAACCTGGGTCCGCCGAGTGCGAAACGGAGGCGTTGCCACTGGACTGCCCCGCGGCGTTAACAACCCGTTCTATACTTAGGGTTTTTGTAGTACTTGACGCCTACTGTGTGTGCTCTCAGCAAAAGAGAAAAAAAAATAGCCGACTACAAATAGCTGTTGTACCCCTGTCAGTGCCAAGAGCTCGTGCCAGGAGATGCTCTTTCACGCACTCCGGAACAGGAAATAAATAAATGAAAAGAGGCAAAAGCTTTTTGAACGAGATGGAATGAAACGGAAGCATTCGGAACAAAACAGATGTCTGCAGAATGCGACACTGATGCACAACGACTTCGTCTTGCAGCTGTCGCATGACTTTACTGGGGATTAACGCAGGACTGCTCAGATTGCTCAATCCCGATCATTTCGTAGCCAACCAGACTTATTTATGCACGCATGGATCTTTTGAAGACACGCTCACACGGTACTGGAGGCATGGAGGCACCAAAACCTTTCCAAACTTTGTGTTACGTAGCGTGCACGCTTACATTCGTTATGTGCAGGAAAGATAGAGGGATGTCCAGCTTCCCTTTGTTGTGGATGACACATGTGCTGAGATGACACGCGAGAGCTCGGAACATCGCCGCCGGGCACCTCACGTCTGAAACTGGCTAAGACATTTCCAATGCCAAGTAGTACCGAAGCTTCTTAAACGCACGCGACATAGCGACACAGCGACACTCCACTTTGTCAGCGCAACACCAACAACATCATCAGGAACTAAAGAGAATGAAACTGCTTCCGCTCCACCTTAGGGCAGCATTGACGGGGGACGCCTAAATAATGAAGCCACCATTTTAACGTTTTACGGAAGTGGCGTCGTAGACATTGAGATAATTTACGAGACATCTCGACGGCGGACGTCGAAAGAGTCGCTGCCTAAAAAAAACGCTTTCAATAAGTTATTCGAACGCGCAACGCGACGTCGTCTCGTGGATCCGCAGGACGAAGCGCCCACCAAAGTCCTGACCCCGAGGTCCGCCCGTCGCAAGTCGCGCTGGGAGGACGCCCCTCCCAACGACGTCTCCGAGCCAGCCGTGGCGGCGCTGGACTTCTCTGACGCGTCAATGGCGCTGCGGGACGGGCACGCGGAAGGGGCAGGTGCATCGACGTACGACACCGGTGGCGCGGAGGGTGTCGCCCTCCCGCCCCCTCCCCCTCCGAGGACAACTTCTCCGCAGCGCAAAGAGGGAGCCGTGGACGCGTCTGGACGACCCGAGAAAGTGAGTGATGATTCTGACATGGCCTGGACTGCAGGTCACACTGCTAATCCGAGCTGAGAATTTCCATTGGGCTCCAATTGGACTTTTTCTATTGGTACAAATTAGGCATTTTGGACAGCCAATGGTAATCATTTGGAACTCTTTCAGGTTCCAAGTGGAAAAAATAATTCCAATTGGTCAGACCAATTGTGCTTTTAGTTGAAACCTTTAAAACCATTTGGTTCCAATTAAAACCAGTTAGAAGTCCAATTGGATCTATGGGAATTTTTAGCTGCGTTACATTGTACAAAATACCGTTTGCAGACACCATGTTTCTTCCTTGAATGACGGTCCAGCCACATTTCTTCAGTGTGACATCCCCCTTTCTTTTTTTTTTCTTTTTTTTGCCAGGCGATTTATTATGGTATCGGAATATTACCCAATTAATATTTTGCTACAAAGTCACATTTTTTTTTAATAAAGCCAAAAAATGCAACTGCTCGAAACCGGAACCCCCTCACCGCACTGAGAAGTGGAGAGGACAGAGTGAGTGGCAGAAGTCATGTGGCTACACCTGACCGTGCAATTTTTTATTTTTTTTTTTGACGAAACAATGAAATGCGTTGCGGGAGCGGGATCTATTTGCTGTGCGATTCCTTTGCAATTATGTGTTCCACTCGCTGTTCTGTACTTCAAGATCAGTTGTTTTGTACTTGTAAGTTTTGGCAATTAGTGGTGAGTGCCCGTGGTGAATTCCTGTGATCGCCTCTGAAAAGAATACTCCCAAGATGTTACGTGAAGAGCTGCCTCACATTAAATTTGGCGGCCGCGTCGAAACCTTAGAAAACGGCCTGTGACCACGGAAAAGAGAGCGAGCGCGACTCACACCGGCCAGCTCGATCGGTGGTTTTCGGGCGGAAAGAAACCCAATTTTGAGCCACAAATTCTGTTCTGGGTAGTTGGGCTTTCATATGTCACATACAACTAAAAACCTCGGCAAGCATAAATACCCTGTCAGTGTCCCTTTGGAAGGGCACTGACAGGTCAAAATCTTTTTATTATTATACGAAACGATTGAAAACGATGCCTGGACATCACCCTCAAAATTTGAAACTTGAGAACTCAGTATTTGTGAAGTAATAAAAACAATTTTCCAAAGCCGAATTTGAAGTTCCTGCGTGATCCGCGCCAGTCCAGTGACCTCAAAGAATGAGTCATCCTAGAACTCGAGTCTCTCTCACGCCTCCGTGTCATGTTCGCCCGCGTCCTGCGGTCAACCACTTCATGCAAGCAGACGACATTGCGAGTAGTGTCACTGCGAGCAGACGACACTTCACTTTCTAGTTTGGAGTTCTTTTAGGGCTCTTTCAGAGATCTCAAGATTTGAAACGGCATGAGGTTGAAGAGAACCCGCAGTGGACTTTTATGAGCGAAGTGAAGGGTCACGTTGCTCCGGTTCTGCATGAAAGAAAGGCTGCCTTGGCGGAGTTACCACAAAAACTATGATACTCAAACACCAAATCCAGTTGTTTTGACCGTATTGCTACTTCCTTTTCGAAGTCTAAGGGGTCATTGGGCAGCTAAAAAAGAGAACTTTGTCTGATTCCTTAACTCACTGATCATTCTCAGTGCTACATGCATCGAGCGCTGCCATGTGTTCCAAGGGAGGACAAAAGCCAGGGAGCAACACCACGCCAAACTCCTTTTTCGGTATTTAAGAAAAAAGGGCCGTAGTGCGTTTGCAATTGCGTTAAAAAATATCTTTCATGAATTGCCATTATTAAATATTATAGAAATGTCGCTTACAAAGCTTATAAATTTTATAATCGATTATGTCACACAAAAAAAAAAGAGAGGAGGTGAAATGCGGGAGAGAAAGGCGCCAAAAATTAAAAAAAAACATGCACGTGTGGGTTAAATGTTTTTAATAGATTCTGTTTTTTTTTTGTGTGTGTCTGTGACTACAACTTGCATCGTTTTTGACAATAAAAACATATACAACCTTTGGGGTGCCAGTGACCCTTTAAAGGGAAAGTGATGGGGTATTTATGCTCGCCAAAGTTTTTATTTATACATGACATATGAGAGCCCAACTACCCAGAACACAATTCACGGCTTGAAATTCGTTTTCTTTCCTCCCAAATACCGCCAATCAAGAATTGGCCGCTTTGACTTGCACTCACTCTCTTTTCTGTGGTCAGAAGCTGTTTTCTATGGTTTAGACACAACCACCAAGGATAATCAAAGTCGTGGATCATCGAAGGCACACACTCAGTACTGAAAATAGACTGAAAATAAGACACCTATATTTTGTGGCTTTGAAAACGTTGCAAAAACGTCAATTAGAAAAAAAAAAAAAGGAAAGAAGTTGCACAGTGACGTGATTTTTGGTACCTTTTTTCCCCCTCCATAGTTCTTCTTCCTCCCCCGTCCAGTTTCGGTTTCGAGCAGTTCCGTTTTTTGTCTTTATTAAAAACATATGTGACGCTGTAGCAAAATATTGATTGGATAGACTTCTCACACTTCCCGCTTGGCAAAAAATACAAAACAATTTTTGGGGGGTGTCACTGTCCCCTTAAGTACATTACACTTAAAGTACTGCTGCAAGCAGGTCTAGATAACTTGTAGAGTCTCCTGCAATATGAAAGACCCATTTGCCTTTTCAGTATAGGCCTGTGTGTTAAGCCCACACATGCCAGGCACATATAATTTTGAGGTAGGGGGAAGAAGAAAGGTTAATTACTTTTTTTGTACTAAGAAATGTTGGCCTTGTCAAAGCGAATTTGGCAGATCCACTTTAAAATGCATTTTCTAATGGTTCTTGCATATTGCAGGGGGTGTACCTTACTTGAAGTATGTGTATTTTCCGAGTATGTGTACTTGTACTTTATTGAAAGTATTTTTTCGGGTGCATTCCAAGGAAAGTACAAATCTTGGCCTCAAAGTACATTCCCCAAACTTGAATAAAAGAAAACAGAAACAAATGGCATTCGTCATGTGAAAACATGCCATCGTCTTTGGAGACGTCATCTGGTCATTTTTCCGAGTGAATAAGGGTGGCTATAAGGCTGACACAAATAAGTGCTTCGTAAGTCGTTTGTGTTAAATAGTTTGTCGGGGAGAGTAAAACAGCTACACTCTTTGTCAACTTGACTTTATCTGACATTTTCCGCCATTTCGGTAAGTAGCTGATGCACCCCCATTACCCTTGAAACAATGCATACCAGTTTAAAAAACAAACAAAAAAATCTATAAGGGAATAAAATGGCATCCCGAAAGAATGTGCTAAAAAGTACTTGCACCTTGCTTTGAAAGTACACCCGCTGGCGATATGAAGGTGAACGCCGGACCATCGACAGGTCCGTGCTATCAGCGCCATGACGCGGCTGCCGTGACTGCTCGTTTTCTTAACTCTCGCTTCGGTGAGATTAAGCGCCAATTGGATCGAGCGCTCTTCTCAGCTCTGCTGTTACTCCCTGCATGCACCATCAAACGTCTTGTAATCAGTTGGGAACATGGCTTACTGCCCACTTTATACCATTTCAATCGTCACACTTCAGTGTTGCCAGTAGGGGCTCCTGGTTTGAGAAACACGATGAAAACGAAATTCGAAAATTCAATAACTTCGCAAATTTTTTTTCTTTTTCACACAATACTTGGGGAACTAGAGTCATGTCTATCGTTGTGTTAAGTCAATTTTGAGGCAAATCAGCGACCACGAAAAAATCGCTGGAGTAACCCTTTAACCGGAACAACAGAACCTCTCCGTTGCAAGGCCGGGCTTCTTTAGATGAAATGTTCACTATTCCAGTGCCTCAAAACTTGTAATAGTGGACTATTCCAATACTATGTTGAAGGCTCGTAATATACTTGGATATTCCAATACCTCGTTTACTTGTAACACAGGACTGTTCCAGTAGCTTGTGGCATGTCCCAGTACAGAAACGAAATGATGTGAACACGAGCTCTCTACCCTTCGCTTCAAAGTCGGCCAGCGAAAAGCGCAGTGCGTATCGCGCTCGTGACATCAATAGTTCTCGCATGGTCAAGGGTACTGTAGTTGCAAGCCTTGACGCTTGGTGACGTTAATGCGTGACCATCTCGTCTAGTAATATCTGAGGACTGTACGCCTTATGGCCTATACATAGTTTTACCGTAACATCATTTGCGGCCATGCCGGTATTTTATGTGTCACGAGCGTTTGCCTCACCGTTTTAGTTTCACACCGCAGAAGTAGTGGCTCGAGGGAACCAGTAAGTAGAAATATTCGCCAATACCCAGCAGTGGCGAATGGTTGACCTGACAAAGGTCCCCGCATCCTCAGATCAAGCTCCTACCTAAAGCCTGCAAAGAATGGCGATCTCGATGGTGTAGATTGCCCGTTGCAGAAGCACTCTAGAGCTGTGACTGCAGGCAATGGCACAACCAGGAGAGCTTGAGGTCGCTGCTTTGAAGCATTGTTCCGCAGAACGATTGAGCATTCAGGCTAGAAATTTATGTCTTAAAGCCAGGGGCGCGGGCTAGTTTGCGCTTGTAGCTTTGGCTGCAGTCTCAGCTTATGTGCGTTCTCCGCCAAGTCAGATTCAGGACTAAGTAACTCCATGAGAGAGCCATACTGCCGCGAACTGACGCTGCTTCTTAAGAACTCATGACGTGACGGCATTCCAACGGAGCTTCACAGACCACCACCAGACGCAATTTTGAAATTGTTCTTTTGTTTTAAAATTAGTTTTCTTGACTTCTCTTCCTGCTGCCTAGAAACACGTACTTGTCTAGGCTAGTGTTTCTGGGCGGTTGACAAAACATGAACCACATATCTAAACAAAAAAAATTAAGGTGCAAGCATTTCGTTTCCCTACCCTTTTAAGGGGGCACTAACTCCTCCCCCCCCAGAAATATATTACAGTGGAGCTGTTAAGGGCTAGGTTCCCCAGGATTGTGTCCGGTACCAAAGAAATGTTGACACAAACCTACACGAACCTCTGGACAGCTACCGCCATCTATAAGCGACTGGCAACCAGGCAACCAGTCTGGTTGCCGCGGTCGCTCATAGATGGCGGTGACCTTTCCAGCTATCATAGAAGAATGGATAGTTGGGCGAGTTGGTGCGGATTTATCATAGGAAACAGCTCGAAAAACGGACGAGGACGAAGAAGAAACACACATGACAAGCGCAGCGCACATCACGTGTGTTTCTCCTTCGTCCTCGTCTATTTTGCGCGCTGTTTCCTACGCTCTTATCAGTTTCGGTTTGGACTCACGGTGGGTTGGCCACGTGCCCTTTCTTCGGGGAAAGAAGACCGGGTGCGGAAGGAGCGGCACCGTTTTCACAGCAGCGCGAATGAGTCCGCAACCGTCGCGTGCGTCGAGCGCTTCAGATTTTCTTGCGAAAGAAGAGTAGATAGCTCGCCTGGAGAGCCACTGGCGAGAACAGAAGCTACAGCTCTGCTGCTCTTCCTTCTTCACAGGAGTGGAACGGCTAAAAGTTTTTAATTTTTTTGTCAGTTGATTTTATATGGTGTCGGTAGACTACCCAATCAATATTTTGTTAGAGCATCACATATATTTTAATAAAGTCATAAAACGCAAGTCCTCGGAACCGAAACTGAACCAAGGAGGAAGAAGAAATGTAGAGGAGAGAGTTTCCGGAATTCACGTGGCTACACGCGACCGCATTTTGTTTTCTTTTTTTTTTACTTTGTTTTTTGGTTGTGCAAAGCAGATGAAAAGCTCACACGTCACACAAAATACCCAAAAGTCAAGTACTTTGTGCTTGAGCTTTGCACATTTTTTAAGCTCTTGCCAATTTATGTTTGTAAGACGAGTGATGTCTTCAGCCAGGAGAAGGAACGACGACTTGGCGTCGTTTTCGTGCAAATCACGGAATAAATCCTACCGTAGAATACCGTGCATGCGCCTGTTCCGCACTAAGTGCCCACCCCTAAAACTAGAAACATCTGAAAAAATATGCACAGTACATTTATATGTAAAATTGATGAGCTCACTAGCGCCCATCCCCACTTTTGTCGCGATTGTATTCAAATTTTGAGTGGGCGCTTGCTCGGTATTTTACGGTAATTGTTTTGATCAGGAAAAAATTTATCTTTTGAAGCTAGACAGATTTTCCGGTACTGCGAACGACAGTTCTGAAGTACAGGTCCCCCGTCATTTGCTGCCATCGCTTAGTCTACTTCGTTCAACCCTCCAGCCCACGACTCCCGCGATACGATGCCATGTTGAGAATTACGCAGATAATGTACAGAGTGCCTCTGGTTCTCTGCGCAACTTTTTTTTTTAATCAACATATTTGCAGCTTTTAGAAACCACAAAAAAGGGGTATCATATATAATATATATATTTTTTTTAATATTGAGAGTGGGTTTTTGATGACCCACGACTTTGATTACATTTGGTGGTTGTGACTAAACCATAGAAAACAGCACGTGACCACGGAGAAGGGAGTGAGCGCAACTCAAACCGGCCAGTTCTCGATCGGCGGTTTTTGGGCAGAAGAAAAACAAATTTCGAGCCGCACATTGTGTTCTGGGTAGCCATGGGCTCCCATATGTCAGGCACAAATAAAAACCTGGGTGAGCATAAATACCCCGTTAGTGTCCCTTTAAATATAGTGTAAACTACTTTATTTATGCCGCAAAGTGTGGGTTGCGGAAATATTTCATGGGCAGAAAATATTATGATTTGGAGTGTCATATATATGTTATACATTTGAAGTAGCAAAATTTTCAAAAATTAGGTCCACACGAAAATTAAGTTGTTTGTAGTGTTTGTGATACTGATTTCTTTATATACCTCAAATACTTTTTGTACTGAACTATTGTAGGACGTCTCAGGCACTTACAGGATTTATAGGAAGATTTTTTACGGAAAAATTAAACTAGGAACCGCCAAACGCTCATTCTCCGCCCGAAGGTAGAGCTAGAGGTCACAACCAGATGCCAAAATTTCAGCCCAATCCCATAACTTAATCAAAAGTTATAAGTGATTTTCTGAAAAGTTCAATGGGAAAATGGCGGCCGACGGATTTTTTGAATACATGGGGCTCTATGGCACCAGAAACCGAAAACAGACAAAATTGGGCTCCATTTTCCCATCGAAATTTTCAGAAAATCAGTTATAACTTTTGAATAAGGTGTCTGTTCGGGCTGAAACTTTGGCTTCTGGTTGTGACCTCTAGTGCTACCTTTGAACGGAAAATGACTGTTCGGCAATGCTTTATTTATTTTTGTGGTAAAAAAAACCCTGTAAATTTTTTTTTTTTGCGACACCCTGTATTTGAAATACTAAACCATTCCAGTACTTCAAATTCCTTTAGTACTGCAGTATTCGAGTACCTCAAATACCCGTAATGCTGGAATATGCAAACGACTTGTTTTTTGTGAGGACCTAATTTTCGCGAATCTCCTACAATTTGCGAAAAAGTAGGTCCCGCGAACAATTCCAGTGAAATGTAAAACACTGGAATCTATATTGAGATCCCATCGCGTCGGGAAAATTAGAACCCCCGAATTATTCCAAAACTTCAGCTTTGAACTCAATCGCGAAATATTGAGCCTGCGAAAAATAAGTCGTTTACAGTATCTACTATTTCATTACTACAAACTTCATACATTAATAACTTTACTCTAGCCATCATTACTAGGGAGAGGATCTGCTGTATGTGTCATCTGCCTTCCCCATCCCATGCTAGCACCCTGTGCGGTGGAGCGATGTCAGGAATGTACTTACGACAATTTCATTGCCCAAACTCACATTATAGTACATGCATAGAACTACCAGAGCGAGACAATTGATAAGCGGAAAGGGCTAAAAAAAGTGGAGATAAAATAAATCATTAATTAAGCGGTCGCACTACGCGTGGTGCAGGTGAAGTCTCGATGGCGGCGGAGCAGCGAGCTTGAAACTCGTGACGTGACGCCGCCGTCCTCTGCGCCTGTCACTGCACCATCCAAAACACCCGGACGGGACACGTCGTCCCCTCCTCGCGCCAAGGTTCCCCCCAGCACCAAGGTTTCCAGCCCCAAGGTTTCCAGCCCCAAGGTGGCCAGCCCCAAGGTTTCCAGCCCCAAGGTTTCCAGCCCCAAGGTTTCCAGCCCCAAGGTGTCCAGCCCCAAAGTTGCTGGCGCAAGGTCCACCGACATGAAGTCCACCGACGCGAGGTCCACTGACGCAAGGTCTATTGACGCGAGGTCCATCAACGCGAGGTCCACCGACGCAAGGTCCACCGACGCAAGGTCCACCGACGCAAGGTCCACCGACGCGAGGTCCACCGACGCGAGGTCCACCGACGCGAGGTCCACCGACGCAAAGCCCACCGACATGAGACCCGCAAGGGCGTACGATGCAAAGGAGGACACCAAGAGGATTTCCACGCCAAGCAGGGAGGAGATTCGGGAGAAGACGCCCCCCTCGACCCCTTCCAGGGAATCTAGAGATAGAGAGTCTAGGGAAAGTGGGAGAGGTGGAGAGTCATCTAGGGAGAAGGGTTCCCCATCGCGGTCCCTGGCCTACGAGGACATTGAGGAGAACCTCTACCGGTTCGAAAGGCGAGTTCCTCCAATTCTTTGTGATTGTGTTCTTGCTTTTTTCTTATCAGTATTCTTTTTGTCGATCGAATTGTGTTCTTGTTTGATTCTTACTATTACTCTTTTTGTCGGTCGATTTAGAGATCACTAACTTAGACTAAAGGAGTGTTTGGATTTTGGCGGTGCGGCAAGGTTTGTCGAGGCATGCAAGGGTGTCGCAAACAAAATAATAGTTTGGTCTCTTAAACTTAAAATCAGCAGTGTTTCTCTTATAAAAAAGTGTGTGATTAAATTATGTACTTATTCTTGAAGCTTTGCTAATATTCTGTACTATGCAGCCAGGCTTGACTGTGCTTGGTCTGCAGAAAGAACTAAGGTCGTTTTGTCCTTTCTTAGCATGGTGTGAATTGTGACATTGAAATCTTGTTCCACATAATTTATGCAGGGTGTTAAAGGTTACATTAGATGCAATTCGTGCCAAACCCCAACATTACTGCAGTATTAGGTCTGTATTTTGTCCGTTTTCTTGCCTTGTCTTCCTTGTCTGGTGTAGTGGAGAATGTACGTAAATATGAATGTGATGAGCTCCAACTGGAATGATTAAGGGGGCGCAAGGCTTTTTTATCTGCTAAGTATTCGAACACAAACACGGAATTTCGGCTTGCGGAGTTAGGGCGCTTTCGGACGCCGACCATTGACAAATGCGGCCAGCTTTGCGTCTACCCCCTAGCCATTCCGGTCCGGGCTTGTCGCTTTCTCATCCCCGCGTGCTCTCGTCTTCTCCTCTCAATTTCCACCCGCGTAAATTGCTAGGTGCCCGGTTTGAGGGTGTACACACTGCACGATTTTCCCTTTCCCGCGTTGGCACCGGGTCGTGCGAACAGGTTGGACGGGCGGATTTCGTTAGGCAGGCCGGGGGCGACCCGTTGCTTCCATTGGAACGCTGACGGAGCATGAGCCCCGGCGCCCCGCAGGAAGAAGTCCAAATGCAAGAAGGAGGTGCGGCGCATGATCTGCGACTGCTCCCTGACCAAGGACGAGAGAGACCGTGGCATCATGGGCTGCGAGGAGGACTGCCTCAACCGCCTCCTCATGATCGAGTGGTGAGCGAGGTCTCTTGGCTGTGGACTACATGTCGACGCCAAATCGCATTCCAACAAAAGCCGACTCGGATCTCGCGTTCGTCTGTGGCCTGCAAGGCACATCGCAGTGTCACATGCATGACCGAGGAAAAGGAGGAAGGGAGGGGAGGGGGGTCTTGAGCGGCCAGTTCTTTATCAGTGGTTTTCGTGCGTAAAAATGAAAGACTTGAGCATTAGTGGACCTTTTTTCGAGTAAGTCTCCGCGAATGCATAAATCCCATCCCCTGACTTTTTGGACCATTTTTGGAGGGCACCGTCGTGCTCGACCAGTGTTGTCGGTACCTATCCTGGCTTTTGTTTTAACTGTTTTTGCTGTTTATTTTTTAGCGTCGTTAGCATGGGGCAGGAAAAGCAATGAAAACCAGTGCAACAGCACAATGCCAATGCGGTTTGACTGGTGGAGGCACGTCGAGCCACCCTTCGTTTGTAGTTTGCAAACAACCTCCAAGATCGTGTTCGTTATTTGAAAAAGGTCCTTTTTGTTTTCGATATCGAGGCGGTTCGCTGGCTAACGTGGGTACATCTCCCTAGGTGGCTAAAATCCTTGCGAGAGGGATTTTCTGGTCGCATGACCGACTTCGTGGTGACAAGGTACCTGTAAACAAAAACAACTCAGCATCAATTATTTTCCGTTACATCATCGAGGCTAGCGTCGTTTTCGCGGTGCCACGGCCCAGCACCGCTGCGAGAGCACGTGGCTTTGTCTTGTGTCTCGTTTGCACGAGCTCTCGTGTAAAGGAGACGGAGTCACTGAATGTTCCCAGAGTACCAAAATTCCCAAGTCTCGTTTCGGAACCGAGTCGCGGGGCAGCAGTCGTGGTTCCCATATGGCGCTGCCCTGTGCAGTCGAAGCGAAGCGCACGCGGTGTAGCATTCGCTCTTGCGCGAGCCCTTGTATCCACGTTTTTGGCCTGTGGCAACGCTGGTTTGTTTTTATTGAAGTTCTTCGCTTCATTCCGAGCGGTGCGTGACTTGCTCCTCCCTGTCTCGTCACTTTCTCTCGCCTCGAAACACATTGATGTCAAGTGTCAGGCTAGGCGTCTGAGGCATAGAGTTAGAAACGCAGCACCAGCGCAACTGAAGCGAGCAAACGAGCCGGCAATCTTCTTTTCCGAACCAAATTAGCAAATACTTAATATATATATAAAAAAAAAAAAAAAAAAGCTAGGGAAATTTAATGATCTTTCTGTTCAGTCTTACTCATCGATGCCCAGAGCTCCCACCCGTGTGTACCCGCCGTAGCCATGGTAACGCAAAATCGGTTTATATATGTTTCTTTTTGGTTTAGGACCGATCCACAAAATGGCCGACTAATAACTTCCGCCACGCGTGCTAAACCAGACAATCAGAACTGGATTTTGTGGGACTCACTTTTGGTAAGCAGACTGAATGGAATTCGGTACTCTGGGAAGTTCCAGTGACTAGGAGACGCCGAACGAAGCAACGCGTTCAGACGAGTAGTTTTGGCGGCGTTAGAGCACTGTGCAAGTTGTGCCAGCCTCTACTATGCAGTACAAAACAGCTGATGCTGAGACAGGCAAATCGCCACCGTAATTCCATCCTCTCTTCGATTACTCAAGTCTGCTTTTGCGTGTAGAAAAAGTAAGAACAGGCTTGAAATGTGAGTGAAACGAATTGCCTTTGTGTACGCTCAGCAACGTAAGCCGGGCTTACGTTTGCTAAGCGGTATTGGCCGGAGTGCTGGGTACATCCTGCCCTTTATTAAGCCGACCTCGTGAGCAGAAAATTTCCCTTGCGGAAATTCTAACTGCCGGATACGCCGGCAAGCCGCCCTGGGCTGTTTGAGGTCGTCTCCCTGCAAGAATATAAATAACATTCGGAGACCCGTCGGCGAGTCATTGAAGTAGTGTTGTAAGATACAAACCCTTGGGTTCACATTGCTTTCAGTGGATCGCGATGCCCAAACGGGGACAGCTGCAGCAACCGGAGGTTCCAGAAGGTAATTGCTTCGTTCTCGGATTTCTGAGGAGGGAGAGGTGGGCGCGAATGTACTCACGATCCTGCCTTTGCACCCCCACCGGTCTTCCGCAGAAGAGCTACATCAAGGTGGAGAAGTTTTTGACGGAGAAGAAAGGCTGGGGACTTCGCACCGTGGAGACTCTTGCTTCGTGAGAACCACTTTCTTTTTCTCCTTGGCCTTTTGACGCAGACATCGTTGTTGCTGTTTGCACGAAAAGCATTATTCCAACTCTATTTCATTAAATGAGATGCGTTAAGCGAAAATGGGAGAACAGATAGACATTTTTCTTGCCAGCTTCAGTGTTTTTTTTTTGTTTTTTTTTCGTCTTGTATTTGTTAAAGGTAAAAAGAGGAGTGTTAATCTTCTCTATTTTGGGGAAAGTTCCATATTGGGAAGGAGAAATCAATTTTTGACTTGCTTTTTAGTTTGGGGTCAGGAATAGAGATGTCTTACTGCAGAGTATCTCTCTTTCCAGTCTTAGGAAAAGCTGTTTGCTTTCTCTTTTAGTTAACACATTAAGGATCAAAACTTCCAACATTTTCCTAAACTCTGGTTTGGGGTCAGGGATAGGGACGTCTTGCTGTGAGCGAGGATCCCTATTCCCTATCTTGGGGAAAGTCATTCCTTTTGTCTCCTAAGACTGAACACATTGGGTGGCAAAACCTTGGATGTTCTTTGACCCCCTAATTCGGGGTCGGGAAAAGGGATGTCTTGCTGCAAGGCAGCATTCCTATCCCCTATCTTGGGGAGAGTTCTTTCCTTTTTTCCCCTGTAAAGGGGGGGGGGGCCACTTCAAGGAAGGCTCACCCTCTGGTCTGGGGACGACAGGGGAGCCTTTGTGATAGAGTATGTGGGGGAGGTGCTGACGCCCGAGGACTTCCGCAAGCGGGTGAAGCAGTACGCCAGGGACAACCACCAGCACTACTACTTCATGGCCCTCCGGTCGGACGAGATCATCGACGCCACCCAGAAGGGAAACGTGTCCCGCTTCATCAACCACTCGTGCGACCCAAACTGCGAGACTCAGAAGGTGAGCGACCCATATTTGACCTTCATTCGACCTTCGAGAGAACCCTTGCGGTCTCTCCTCTCCTCTCGCGTGCCATGAAAAACGTTCCTACTAAAGGCTTTCGCGCACTTCCGTTCGGGCTGTACCGACTGCGACTGCTTACCACCACTGGCGTCATCTATCTGCCTATATTTCCTCGTGTTCTATGCACCATTATCTCACCCTGGGCTCGAAATTGTCTCGACCATGTCATATGCGACCATTTCTCGAAGACGGTGCATACATTTTATCTCGCAGGTAGTGCAAAACCTTCGGTCTGTACTCTCCGTTTGCCCCTAAGCCAACGGTGTAGCGGAAGTTACGTGCTTGTTGGATCGGTCGTATGTTTGTCTTTCGATCGCCACGTGACCACGCTGCCTCCCGCATCTCCGTGCAGAGAGCGGGGCCACGTGATGAAACGGAGGCTGTTGAATGGTTCGGCCAACTCGTAGCTTCCACCGCACCGTTAGCTTAGGAGTGAACGGAGTGTATACATGTGCAGATTGAAAGAGCTGCAGGGTTACCGGATAGGTGGTGACAGCATGCCAGTGTGCTATCTCGTCGGAAGGGGTCACAGCTGTTTCGACGCAGTCAGTCCCACTCGAAACCAAATGTGCAAATGTGCGAGCCGTCGGCACTTAGCTCTCTCTAGGGTGCTTTCATGTACGCTTTGCCAAAGGTGGTGACGTCGGGTTGTTTTCGTCGTGACTCTTTGCTCGGGATTGCGTGAAAGAGCGTCTCCCGGCATGAGGAAGTTTTGACTATGCTTTGGTGGCATTTTGGTTCCGGCTACTTCTTTGCGTTGCAGCAATGGCCGTCATGGGCTCTTTCCCATACTCGAAATGCCGATGTAAGGTGTATCCTCGACATTATCACTGACACTATGCCTTCCCAGTCGCATGATTTTACGCGACGTCACCCTGTCACAAGACATTAGGGTGCCACGTGAGATAGATAGTTTTATAGTTACAGTCTCTGGATGAATGTGTCACTTTCTGACTGTGGCTTTCGTTGGGACCGTGCTGTGGATTCGCGCAGAATTATTTTTATTTATTTTTTTTTTTTTTCTTCTTGCGAGCACGTGTTGTCGGCACTGGGAGCTACAGAAGGCGGCATCGCCGTAAACAGAAAAAATTAAAGGCGCCCTAGTTGTTTCCGGTTCGGATTGTAAAACTGCATTTCTGCTATGTCTAAAGACTACGAGGGAACCCACGAAGCCTGCTTGATGCCGAAATGTAATTGGTAGTGAGCATTGGCGCCTTGGATTGGTGAAAGGTGATTGTCTCTGTCGTGCGGCGGCTAGGGACTTGTATGGCCTACCGTGACATATTACAACATAATTGTTGCTAGTACCGTGCGGCAGCAAGCATCAAGAGAGATTTCGGTCGTGGGAGACATTTGTTTGTTCATTATATTAACGAGCTGAGACCTCCTTTCGGCGTGCAACTAACCGATGCGCAGATATTACAATAAGTCGGTTGCTGCCCGGAGGGGATCGGCCCCCGCTTGCCAACACGACGATGTAGCCTTTTTTTGGCGACCCAACAAACTTCGTGCCACTTGGTCAAAGGGCGCATTATTTTGTGGCCACCCGTTGGGGATGCTGCGACGCGGAGGAAGTTGCCGATAAGGTGCATTTGGCGTGCTTGTGAGCAGTGTTTTTTCACTTTTCATTTTATTTTATTTTTATTCATTTTCGGCCATATAAGCATTATTAGTGCGAAATCTGGAAACATAGGCGAGGTGTGAAAATACAGATGAAAAAGGCACCGACGGCCAGATCAGGTCAAGTGCCTTTGTTAAACATATAAAAATAGCGCAAAAAAAAAAAAAAATGGCAAGAAGTAAACAGGACAAGCGCTAAGTTTCAACTAGTTTTACTCAGGACAAGCAAAGCGTATATACAAACCACATGCGAAGCAGCAACACATAAAAGCTACCAAGTCAGTAAAAACGTCCAGCCTTTTTACTCTGGTGACGAAGGAAGACCAGCAAAGCTGTACTATGGTGGGAACGAAGTAATGGCCGGCTGCAAGTCAGCAAGCCAGAGTGGAAAGGTTGGAAAGGTGGGGGCGGGCAAGGGCCCCGCTTGCCCCTCCCCCTCCCCCTCCCCCGCGGTTGGTACGCCCATGCCGGCCAGTACCGTCGAGCTATGGGGACTACTGCTAAGCTGTCAGGACGCTGAAAGCTACGTGCTCGTTGGACGGGTTTCACCTTGCACCACGTGACCACGTGACTCACGCGCGGAGTGCAGGCTCGGGCGACACAGCAAACGATACGAGCCATCGGCAAATGTCACGTGACCTGTAAACGTATCACGTGATGCGTTTACACTGCTGGATTGGCTGTGAATGGCTCGTAGCATTCGCAGCGGTAAAATAGAACCTCCTTTTTTTTTTTATTATTATTATTATTATCTTCGTCCGGATTGAGGAAAGATGAAACGACAGAAAGAAAAGAGAGCACATGGCGTTGTTCTCGCTTTTGCGTTTTTGGGGGGAGTCGGAGGTTATCGCTCGCTAGCCCGCTGATCTCTGACGCAAAAAATAGCTCAGCGCAAATGTTTTTTTTTTTTTTAAATTATTTTACGTATTGCGTTTTTCAGTGCCATATCTGTGGAGCAGTTCTTACTTTCCACTCGGACAAGGGGGCCCATGTCGCCCCTGGTTTGCGTAAATTAATTTTAACCACCCGGTTTTTTTCTTTTTAGCTTAAAATTTTTATTTTTATGTAGCTTTATCGAGCTGCAGTTATTTATTTATCTTTGCTTAAAATGCGTACTTCTTTAGATCCGCTGAGCTGGAGTGACCTACGAGGTCACTCCAGTGACCTAGATTCCCCTAGGATTATCCTTGCCCCTTTGTGGCACAACTTTTGCCCCCAAGTTAGCACAAAGAAAACCTGCACTCGCGTTTCGACCAGCGCCAGGAGATAACCTCGACTTCGGCACGTGGCAGCGGTCATTCATTTTGAAAACATTTATTTTTCTGCCGTGTCAACGTTGAGGTTTTCTTGGTCCCGTGGCGTTGAGACAACAGTCGGCGCGCAGGTAGGTCCGCTGTTAAATCAAATGCACGTGTACAAACAAACACGGCATGTGTTGACGTTTCAGCGCCGAATGTATTACGCTACAACTAGATGCTCCCGTAACATGACATATTTGGTAGCTTTTTCTTTTATATACGCTCGGGCGCGTTATGACATTCAACGCTGGTTGCACTTATGCGTTTGATGACCGACCGACTGCGCTACGACCGGTTTCTCAGCCTCTTGTGACTGCTTGCGACCAGCTCCACTAGTGCGCTAACGCGAGTTGTGAACCGGCCTTTCCACTGTGAATTTGGCAACGATACTGTTGATAAGAGAACGTGTACCGTCCTGCGGGCCCCGTTGCTGTTGACAGGCAATGAGATAAGCTATCCATTTGCCCATCACGTTAAACCTATACCCCGATTCCCGCGTTTTTTTTTTTTTTTTTCTCTCTCTCCACTTCCGTGTTGGAACAGATCGGCCGATCGACTGTGGTTAGTCAGCTATACAACGACCGAGTCTGTAAATGAGCTGCCTATCCATCACGCTAGGCCCAATCCCCGATTCCGGCGTTTTTAGATAGGCTTTGTTTAGTCAGCTATACGGCGACTGGTCCATATCACAAGAGCGAATGACATTTTAGCGAACGGCGACATTTGAGCGAATGATCGTTTTAGCGAATAACGGGGGCGCGCGTTAACCCATCCGTCGCGCTGCGCTTTACGCCGCTTCGCGGCGACAGTCTGCGGCAACTCATTACAAAAATATGAACTCATTTGGCCCACCCGAAAACGCCGCAAAGTGTCATTCGATGAAACGTGGGCGTTCGCTAAAACGTCATTCGATCAAGTGAGTGCCTCCCCATTTGTAGAACGGCTTTGTTTAGTCAGCTGTACAACGATGTGATGTTAGGCCTAATCTCAGATTCCCGCATTTTTTAGATCGGCTTATGGTTCGTTAGCGGTACCGCGTCTGAGTCACTGAACCGGACACTCGGCGTAGTGCCTGTTTCTTGACGCGTTCTCGTGGCAAAGGCCCTTCGGGTCCCCGATGGATTGACGCTGGAAGCGGACCCGCGTTCGCAACCGCTTCCAGTGTGAATGAGCGGCTCGGCCGGCATAGTTGGAATCGATCGACAGTCGACTTGGCGCCTGCGTTATCTAATGCTAGCCGGCACGTTTCAGTTGCCTTCTGTGGCCGGTTTCGGTTGACGGAGATATCGTATTTCGCGAAGGCGATGGCAGAAACTCGGGACCACGTGGTAGCCATGTGCCGCTGTCGGACGTCGTGTGTCGGCAGTGAAGCCCACCCTTGCGTTAGCGCAAATGTAAATCCGCGATTCCTTTTTTTTTTTTTTTTTTTGGTTATGCACTTGGTTTTGCATCGAGCGGCATCGCCGTCGTTTTACCGCGCGCATTGTGGTATGGGACGTCACAGTTTCCCCGCTAAATTTAGCGGCGAAACTGAACTGGTGTTGAGGTCATGCGACGTCAATTCCCCGCTAAATTTAGCGGGGAAACTTTGCCGGCTAAATATAGCGGAGAAATGTTTCCACTAAATTTAGCGGGGAAACTTAACCCGCTAAATTTTATGTTGAAATTTTCGCTAAATTTAGCAAAAATATTTACAATATTTTTCACTGAATGTGACGGAAAACTTTCTCCGTTAAATTTACCGAAAATATCCCGCTAAATGGGAGGTGGGGAGGGGGAGCATACCCTCCCCCCTCCTCAAGAGTTGCACTCCAATTTCGCAATGCAGAGACTTTTAATCATTTTTCATTTTGTTCTCTTGTCTATAATTGTTTTTTGTTGCCAGTGACTGCAATAGCATTGTGAGGAGTTAAAAGAAAAATCCTGCAATATAAAGGACATGATTGCCTTTTTAGAATAAGTGACTGGTCGTTTTAGATGCCTTAAGGCCCATTCACACTCTTGCGACCTCTTAAAGGGATACTTCAACGAAATTTGAAATATTCCCGTCGTGTTCGAAAATAGGTCGAATATGATCCAAAATATCCGTAAATGACAATCTCACGTTTGTATTTTGATCCTGGTGGCTGTATTTTTCGTTATAAACGGCCCACTCTGGCAAGCGCTCGGAGAAGGCCCAGCTTAGAGCACGTGATATCCAACGCAATCGTGACTTAGGTCGTCTCAAGACGAGCAAAGCTATGGCGAGGCTGACGTCGAGAGGGTGGCCTAGTCGTTCCAGCCACCGAAGCGGCTGCTTTTGTACGAATTTTGAGTGACGGGTTAATCTTCTATAATCTTCTAGGGGGACAATAGCGACTTCTGCGACACACAAAAGGGATTCTCGGTAAGAGGGGAGTTCCTCCTTCCCCCCCTCTTTCGTCGTGGCCGGAGACGAGACAACCTCCGTTACTAGCTGTCAAGGTTCCTAGACGAGCATTACAAACGAGGCGTTAGCGACATCCACCAGGTGCTCTTTGCTAATCGTTTAATTCGTTTTAAAATTCCTTTTCGAGACTTTTTTAACAAGATATTGGTACGTTCCATGTGATACTGCTCTTTTGAACACATATAGACCAAAAAATGAGCGCCGAAATTTCGTTGTAGTATCCCTTTAAGACCGAGTTCCTTTAAACCTCTTACAACGAGAGTACACACTGTGTCTTGGTGGTCTAGCATATTTTCTATTTCCTTCGCGCATTATCCTTTCTTTCTTGGCTCGAAAAACTTTTGTCAACATTATAAACAAGCCTTTCTTATAGGTATTACATACATTTGACCTCCGAAATTCTGCAAAACCTTCGCTTTTGTGAAGTGCGGTTCCAGGGTCACCGCTTAGATGGTGCCAGCGTGCCAGTGTGTTCTCTCGTTCAAAGTAATTTTAAGAGGTTTTAAGAAGTCTCGGTCTCTCGGTCATACTCGGTCGCAAGAGAGTGAATGGGCCTTTATAGCAGGCACGTAGCCAGGGGGGCGGCCCATGGGGCCTGGGCCCCCCCCAAAATCATCCATTTTGCTGGGTCCTCCTTCCCACCTCCCCCTCATACAGCATTTTGTCATGCCCCCCCCCTCCTCCTCTGAAACAAAATCCTGGCTATGTGCCTGCTTCATAGGTTGTATTCATGGAGCCTGTAGGTTCATTTTTGCCAAAAACTGCCATCTTTAAGGTAACTTTTTTTTTTCTTCCTTTTTTCTTTTTGTGTTTTTGGTGTACAGTTTGACTGGCTTGGCTATGCGGTCATGTGTCTTAATTTCATTTCGTTGAAGATGCTTCCTGCCAAGTGCCGTGTGTACTCATTAGTGTGATGGTGAACTGCTTAGTTGTCAGGCGCTCTAACCACACGCGGAAAAAGCCTAGTCATGATAACTAGAGCCCTGCATATCCGCGGATATCCATAGGAAACTGGTGGATGCGGATAAAAATTAGACAAATTTTGGCGGATTGCTGATTGGATGCGGATATCCGCGGATCCGGATCAAAATTTCTGCCCGGTGGCATTCAGTCGACGAACTGAATGCCACCGGGAAATTCATAGAAAAACCTGAGGTGGTTTCGTCGCACACAACCCTGCTATTTTCGTAACAAACGTTTTGCGTCCCGCCTGGATGACAGGAAAGACGCAAGTGAGGCATGGTTTGGTTCAGCGTGCCTTAGTGAGTCGCGCGATAGCTTTTAGCGGCTTAGTGAAGAAATGCGTTGTCAACAAAACGTCGCAGGGGCATGTGCCCCTGCGACACAAACCGTGTATCCATGAAATGTATGTCCATGAAAAGTTGTTGACGAAACACACTTTTACAAAATGCGTTTCGAAGAAACGATAGGGATATCCTAAGAAATATCTGATTCTCACTGAAGATTGCTTCAGTTGGTGCGTTCCATCTCGTCAAAAATGCAATCTATAGAAAAAGTAAAGAATGCAGGGCATCAATCGTCCCGAGAAAGCGAGTACATTGGCAGGGAAAGAGCGAAAGACTTTCTCCGGGCAGAGTGTCGCGGACTCCTAGGACGATCACATAGCTAAATCATTTTTCCTTCGACGCACAACGTCTCGGGAAGGCTGATTGCTTCTAATATAAATTCAATGAAACTGATAATGATAAGACATCCCTTTTGAAAGGTGACCTGAAGATTTCTTAGAAAGAAGATAAGCAAACAACTTAAAAAGTGTTTTTTTTTTTATTTATTTACGTTTGATGTTATGAATATACAATGAATGCCTGGATTGTGAGTCGGATGTGGAGGTGTTGCGAACCGGCCGAAATTCGAGTTAGACTTTTTCGAACTTTTAGTGGAAAGTTCGGCGAACCTTGTATTGAGATTCGACCCGTGTGTGCATGCGCATGAGTCGAACCACAGGCTGGCCAGTTGGTTTGGGATTGGATGGTGATGGCTAATGGATGCATTAAGGGCAGCTCTGATTACTTATCTCAGTTAATGCAGTACACAAAATTAAGTTATTACCTTCTTCAGGGATTAGAATTGGTTTTCTTATAACTGTAAACTGTTTGCAAAAATAAAATAACCCTTTCCATAAAAAAAAAATTCTCCAAACCTTGACATGCTTGTTCCAAGGTCTGGCCACACTGTCCACAAAATCAAACAGGTTGAATCTGGAGAAAAGTTTGAATTGAATCTGAAAGTTCGACCTGAAAATCCAGTTCGACAAAAGTTTGTGACACCCTAGTCGGATGTGGTTCCACAATCTGCGGATGCGGTTCAGATATGGATACAAAGTATGCGGATGCAGATCGGGTAGGGATACAATAATGCAAAACGTTTACGGATGCGGTTCCGATGCGTATACAAAGTCTGCGGATGCGGATAATCAAACTGTTATCCGCGCAGGGCTCTAATGATAACTTTGCAAAAGTGGACTTTTTCCTCATCCCACAAGGGGTTACTAACTAGTGCGACAGGACGGCAGCCTTATAACTTCGAAGGTAAGAGCCACTCAGTAATGAAAAATGTGCCACATTTTTCTTTATCTGCGCACACGGTGAGCCGCACGGTGTTTCTGCACAGGAAGGAACATTGTAGGCACAACGTACAACACGGAGGCGATAGAGCAACACAGTTACACGGCCGTAGTGAAGAAAATCTGCTAGAGACAAAAGGCAAAATGAAAGTACTGGCAAAACAAAACGGAGTTACACCCACGCTACTCTGTCTTTCGGTGAAAAGTCGTCGTGCACTAAAATTTTCAACCAACTGAGTGCCACCCTACGTTTGGCAAACACTTCTGGCGTATGAGTGTCAGCTTGAACTGATCAAGACGGGACTGGCTATCAAGAACTTGGAAGAAATAGATGCAGGGCAGGTGCTTCTTTCTGAGGCAAACCCAAGCCTTTCTGAAAACACGACAAAGCTGGCAGGAATAAATGAGAAGCTGTCAAAGCTTTTAGGGACGGGCTTTTGATAGGTTCTTTGCAATCAAAATAAACAATGCACAGTAACTTTCATCAACTGTTGTATTAGCTTTTTTTGTATGAAAAAGATAAGTTTAGAAATTCCTCACAGTAAATTTCTATGAAAGATAAATTTTTCGTAGTTAAGCCTGTGGAGACCAACATTGCAAAGTTTAAAATTCACTTAACTAAACATGGGTGGTTAAAAGATTTCATAAGTGCATGCTCAAAAGTACTTTGGAAAGTGATATTTGGGTGGTCACAAGGGCTAAAAATTTCATATTTAAGTGCTTCAGAGTGCTCCAAAAGCCATTTTTAGGTGCTCGAAAGTGCTCCAAAATTTGTTTTTAAGCGCTCCAAATCAGGATTTTGCAGTCGCATCACTGAATCTGCAATTGACCGATTTAGTCGGTTTCAGTGATGCCCAAGAAGTTTTGCTTTGCTGGTTACTGGGCTTGAGAGGAAATTACGTGCTCTCCTTTTCTTTTGTACCTGGTGGAAGTAACGGTGGTCGGGATTTGGGGAAAGGGCGGTGGGAGTGTGACGAGGGCTGTCACCCCGTTTCAGTGGACCGTCAACGGGGAGCTCAGGATCGGCTTTTTCACGAGGCGCCCCCTTAGGGCGGGTGAAGAGCTCACCTTCGATTACCAGTTCCAGCGATACGGGTAAGTTGGGTCACCTTGTTGTTTTTTTTTTTTCTTTCTTTGTTTGTGCCGTTTTGAGAATTGGGGAAGCCATTTGTAGAAAGTTAGGGTAGTTGTTTGCAGCAGGTCAGAGAGGGCCGTTTGTATGAAAGTGGGGAAGCCTTTTTTAGGAGTTTGGGGAAGTTTGGGAGCCTTTTGTAGAAAGCTAAAAAGAAAGTAAGAGAAAATGGGGAAGCCACTTGGGGAAGTGATTCGTCAGAATTGAGGGAAGCCACGTGCAGAAATTCGGGGAGGTTGGGGCTCGAAATGCAGTATTTAAGGTGCGATCATTAAATTGATGTATAGGCCTCGTGACATAAAATTTTCCGCAAAATTGAGGGGGGAAAGCGAATTGGTGTGTAGGTCACGAGACATCAGTGTTTTTGCTAAGTCTAGTGGGGAAACTGAACCGCCGTACATGTTACGATACCTAAACACCAATTCATTTAGCCTAATAAATTTAGCAAGAAGTGCACAAACGAAATTCTAGGATTGGGAGGGCCTCCATAAAAATCCTTTCACGCTGTAAAAAGAAAAAAGTACAATTACTAGAGGCCATGTTCTCGGGTTTTCTGGGTTCAACTCAGAATGGCATCCTTCGGTTCATTTCGCCTTGCGACGGACCGACCGCATAGGGTGCTTCGAGCCATCAAATCCAGTCCACTGTTGCGCGAGAGTCACGTGACCTTCGGGAGGAATGCAGCGATGTGCAGGGTGCGCAGTCATGTGACACGTCCACAGCGCCGGATTGGCTGTGACGGCTTGTAACGTCACCTAAGGCCTATGCTGAGTGCAAGTTCATCTGCTTCTTGCGCAGGGCTTGCGGCGACGTCAGAATGCTAAGCTTTGATTGGCTCCGGTAGACCTCAAGGCAGCTAGCATGGAGGTCTACCCACTATTTCTCCATCAGAGCCAATCGGAGCTCGTCGTTTTGACGTCGCCCTTGTGCAAGAAGCAGACAAACTTTTGCTCCGCATATGAGGGTGAAATGGAGTATGGATAAGGTCGGTTTGCAGATTTGCGTCTGAGTGGGCTCTTTCCTTTAATGCACTTGTACACTGGGAGCCGTCTGTTGGGTAGATCTGGGACATATCCTACCCGTGCATTTCCAGACTAAAAGTTTTGCAGTTCTATGAGATCAACTCTCTGCGCTGCCTATGAAAAAATAGTCGCTTGTAACATTCTCGAAATATTTTGAGCCGATGATGGGCAGAATGGCACGTAAACTTTCTAAAAATATATATGCAGGTAATAAGTGTTCAAGGGCCACAGTGATGGTGGCAGCAAGTTAAGTTATTAAAATTTACGACCAAAGTTTGTCCTGTCACTTCGAACAACGTTGCAGAAACGTTGTGTCCCTTTCCGCAATGTTTTCGGCTGCCACGGAAAAGGACATTGCGTTTGACACGCCGTCCCCTCTTGCCCGGCGCGCTCTCTCTTTCCTTCGCTCCAGGAAAGAGGCGCAGAAGTGCTACTGTGAGTCGAGCAAGTGCCGCGGTTTCATCGGCGAGGACAACAAGATGTCTCTCAAGTCGGGCCGGGCTCTCGCCCCGAAGCGAGTGAGCAACAGCAGCAGCAGGAGGGCTGAGGAGCGCAAGAGGGACATCGTCGAGGATCTGGCGGTGAGTAGACCCCGACCTCTCTCGACTTCTGTGTGCCGCGCTTCACTTCCTAGAGCCAGTAAACGAGTTCGGTCCGTCCTCGCTCGCGTCTGCTTGTCTTCTCCCTCGTGTGGATGCGCTTGGGAGACGGACGAAACGCGGAAAGTCGTCACGTGATCAATCTGTCCGCGGATCAGTCCGTAGTGTGAATCGGCCATTAAGAACAACCCTTCGAAGGTCAGGAAAGACAAAAATATCAATTGACACGGCAACAGGTACCGATCAGCCAATCCCCTTGTGGGGTTTTGGTCATCTTTATGTTAGTATCTGTTTGCGTCCGGCTAGCGGATAGGGAGGCAATGGTGCCTCTTTCTCGGGAATCCACCCTCTCCAGAGCAAAACACGAAGTTCGGATGGTGGCATTCTAAGGATTTTCCACGCCAGAAAAGGCAAAGGTCTTTGAAAGCAGAAGCGAATAATGGATTCTAACTGTTCTCCTGTCACTGTCATTCAGGGGCGGATTTAGAGGGGGGGTGCGGATGTCCTGACCCCCCTCTTGATTTCTACATGTGTAAAATTTAGGGCGTTATACGAGAAAGAGGGGGAGGGGGTTCCTAAACATATGGTACGCTGACCAACACCTGACCCCCCCCTCAGAAATTCCTAGGGTTGTGCGAATATCCGAAATTTCGAATAGTAGTTCCGAATAATACACTATTCGATATTCCCTTCGAGAAGAACTGCACTATTCGTGTTTTTCAAAGTGCTGATTGCGGCGGGTTAGCCCCGTTGAGTGCGCTTCTCGCCAAGCACCGGTGCGCTGCGGAGAAGCAATACCCGCGGAAGCGAGCCCTGCGGGTGTTGCTTCTCGCCAAGCACCGGTGCTTGTAAGAAGCGCACTCAAAGGGTAACCTGCCGCGATAAACACTTGGAAAAGTATGAATATCGTAATTGCGTGCTTGGAAGTAAAGCATGCATTCAAAGCGGGATGGTGCACCTGTGCCGACTGTGTGATATCTACATTGCAGTAAAAGTTTCAAAATTAAACTTTTATGCAAGAGTATACTATGTTAGGCAGAGATGCCCTTACAACCTGTGTTCATCATGCACGATTCATTCTTTTTTAACTCGAGATTGAAGAAAGAATATTTTATATAGCACGATTTTTAAATTCACTCAATTGGGTATAGTTGGCCATCTCTACAGGATTCATTTTATGCCAAATCCATTAATTACTTGCCATCCCAAGACACCAGACCTTCTGAGGTCACAGTTCATAAATATAGATAGATTAAACTTAGTTTATAAATAAACAAGTGGAACAACCTTCACAAGTTTAGCTGAGTTTTCGTCTGAGTATTATGCAATGGTAGTGAAAGGCGTGGAAAAACTATTCGATATTCAAATCAAAAATATTCGGGCAAAACCACTATTTGCTTCGTATTCGTTCCGAACTCAAAATACACTATTCGCACAAGACTAGAAATTCCTGCATCCGCCCCTGCTGTCATTACTGCAGAAACATTGAAGCTTTGGAGACTGCCACTAGCTGGCTCTGACTTTTAAAAAGGATCTTTTGGCGATGATTACCGATTGGAAAATGCGACTTTTGGAGCTTTAGATACGGTGTGTTAAGCTCTGGCGATATCGTTTTGATCTGTTGATGAGTGTATTAACGTTTGTGGAGTAGAAAGAAGCGTTTCCTGCTATTTCAAACTAAGTTTGGGGTAACGGACAACGATGGTTTTATGCACCAAGATAGCTGAAATTGAAGTTATTCTGACGCGCAGCTTCTCTGGGAAGCGCTTCGGACGAAATTTGATGAAGGTAAAATCTTGCTGGCCGCTTCATCGCATCGTGCCTATGTGGATACCGAGCACAGCGGACTGCATGAACCACTTGGTGTATTCAATTAAGTCCCGCCTCCTGCGAGGGTGTACAGCCGATTTGTTCATACTGTTAAGTGTGTTCAAGAACACCTTACTCTTTGGGGTGTGCACTTTTTGCGCACCACGGTACACCGTAGCGAGCAAACCAAACGAGCCTAGGTAGCTCCTTGATTCTGCTCATTAGAATTTTCCCGCAGAAATGCTATGATGTGGTGGGCATGCACGTGTTTTTCGTGTGTTACAATAAGCAATTAAACCATGAGATGTAAAGATAAGCAATGAAAACAATTGGAGCATATTAGGTGCAGTTAAGCACTCTATTTCTTGCAAAATCTAAAACGGGTGTCTTGGGCCCCTGAGGCATTTTTGACGAGCCACAAGCTGACATGGATTGAAACTGACCCGTCTTTCTCTGATGCCAGTGGAGTATCCAAGTTCTGCAGCCTACTTAATTTGTGGCATAGTATTATCATCAAATGCCCTCTTTTTGTTAACCAGTATGAGCATTTGATTTATGTTCACTAATGTGTATTTTGCTATGAGGTATTTCCACCCAAATTCAGGGAGGAAGCAGTTTGGCAATCAACGAAGCTATTGAGTTTGCGATTGTTGCTTCATTTTGTTCTTGGGTACCTGCAATGTGTGTAACTGGCCCAAAGGCAGTCGGTAAAGTTCTTTATATGGTTATGTTGCCCCCATTTCAGTGATTCATACAATTTTCTCACTGAAAGATATAGCAGTATTCCTTCGCTGCTAACACGCTCGTGGAATTTTAGATATGTCTCAGTCGAAGAGTCGTGGTGTACTCTACCGTTTAATTGTCCCCGGTTAATATGTTTAAAAAAAAGCCTTATAAAGGATTTAGGGGCAGTCTTTTTTGACGAGCGTCCTTTGCCGCCGACCTCGTTCCACGTTTCTGCTGTAGACTCTTATGAAGCTGTGACTTCACTACATCGCTGTTCCCACACGACGGGGGATTGGCTTTATAAACACCCCACGGTGTATTTTGCTACCGTTTCAAGTTTTGCGTTTGTTCATTGTTGCCCGTTTCAGTGACTATGCGTCTTGGTAAGACTAGTCCGGGTGGCAGGTATAAGGTATTCATTGGAAGCATCCACAGTAAAGCCAGTTGGCGCCTTGGGGCGTTCTCTGAAATAAGATTTATCTCGGACGATTTTTGTGACTTTAATATCATAAAGTTTCGTGAAGGTGGAACTCTGGCGGCCTTTTAAGGTCTTTGCATTAATTGCTGGACCCAGTTGATTGCTCGCGAATTATTAGGGAATTAATTTGTTTATGTTGCGATTCAAGATAAAGCTTCAAGAGGTATACAGTACCACCTTAAAAAAAAGTTTAAAAGGCATCACTCGTCAACATAGGTTCGCAGGCCTCTGACCATATTTTATATTTTCCCGAGATATTGATTGGCTTCTTTAGGCGCCTTGTCGAACTTAAGCCAGTCAAGGTTTGAGTTCGACCAGGCCTGAGAACCTTCAGCGCTAAGTTCGGCGGACGTTCAACCAAAGTTTGACTGCTAGGCGCATGCACGGAAATGGAGTGTGAGCCGGCGGCAACTCATGGAGAAGGATGACAAAGCAACTAAATTATTCAGAAATTCTATGTTTTGATTTCTATTGTGTAAGCACTGGTAAAACTTTTTCTTTTCAAGGTTTTACGTTTTTGCATAGAGGTTGGGCAAAGTCAAAGCCAGAAGTTCGAAGGCTCGATGAACCAGTCGATCCCGGATTTGTAACGTCGAACCACAGGTTTGACGAGCGTTTGTAACATCCCCGCACAGTCGCCGACCGATGTTTCGGACTTCGCGGGGACCGAAGAAATATCCGGATACTAGAGCAGTCCGAAAAATCGGCAGATTAAGAAGCTTGCCTTTATTACGTCTAAGCATCTAAAGAAAGCCAACAATAGTTCCTAGCTTCGGGTTACGCCTCCGCTTGCGTTCGGTCGCTTTCTCTGAGCTTGAGGATCGCTGCCTTCTTTTCTAGCATTATGGTCGGGAACTTTCCGCTCTTCTTGGCAACACTTCGCGGCGGCGGAAGAATAGACGGGGCCACGACGTCCAAGCCAGCTTAGTACGATAACACGATTCGCCAGGACGAGACGAGAAGTGCAAGTCCACAACCTCAGAATGGCAAATGATTGAAGCAAAGTTGTAACAACGACAACAATAACAACGTGCAGCTAGAAAAAAAAAAAAGGCCAGTGCATAGCGTTTTTTAGCGCTAGTACTTAGCAGTACTCGAGTAGTGCTGCTAAATTAATCCACTCCGTGTGCAGCCAACATAGAATCTAAAATTGTGGCTTCTCAATGGTGTTTCCTACTGATCGCTCGCGACGATTTTGTTAGAAAAATCAAACTTTCGGTCCTCAAGCTGTCTGAAACATTGGGCGTGAATATGCACTTCTTCTATCGGGTAGGTCACGGTTTCTCCTTTAGATCCGAAATATCGAACGAGTCCGAATTATCGGCGTCCGAAAGATCAGTCGGCGACTGTTAACCACTGGTTTACAGATACCGGAGGCAAAATGGAGCAGGCAGCCCGTTTCATCACCGCTTCTTGCTTGGGTCATTATGATTTGTGACTGATCTGGATCAACTGCTAGTATTCTGAATGAGTCATCCTATGCATGTACAAGTGTCATTAATTATTTTATAATTTCTGAACTTTGAGGCTTTTCATGACAAGGGTGTGAAGTTGGTCTTTCTTTAGTTAGCAAGAGGTATCACCCAGGGGTGCAATTTTCATTTCTCTTTTTAATTTGGCTTATCACGGTATTTTATGCTTGTCTAATCTTCAGAATTCTGCCAATCATGTTGCATTGTTTACTATGTTTTTTTGTTTACCCTTTAGTGTGGTTGGCACATGAGGCATGTCAATACTCGTGTGTTGTTGTTTTCTGACAGCCATTTGGCAACTTTTTTGTGTCAAGAGTGGTTCGTGGGGACGTCGCCTATATTATATAGAATGTTGGAAACGTCTGCTGGCCGGTGTTTTTTTAATTTTTTTTATGCTTTTGTTGAGCATGTTAAAGGGGTACTCTGGCGAATTTTTGAGCAACTCCACCTAACTATAATTTTGAAATCGCCATCTTTTACTCTTTCCGGTATGCTATTTAGTATCGCGAAATTCAAGATAGTTATTGTATAATCGGCAAATGAAAGTGATGCCAAAACCAAGATTCGAATACACTCGCGCTTTTCATTGCTGTGATGTCATGGGATGGCAGGCTTGCTGTTCGAGCGGGCTGTTTAAATATGAACCATGCCGAGCATTTGTTTCATGCTGCTACACGGGAGCTGGAGCAACCTTCTAACGGCATTCATTTGATACCATGAAACTGTTTGTAATCAGTTAGGAACAAAGTCTACAGCCCAAAGAGTAAACCTCTGCCTTCCCATGACATCACTTTTTCAATGTTTCCAGTAGAGCTTTTCACTTTGAAAAACACGATGAGGACCAAAATTGTAAATTCTAAACTTCGCGAAAAAAAGTTATTTTGGCCAAATATTTGGGTCACTTTTTCAGTGATGTTTGCTGGTGCATTTAGCGAGTTTTTGTGCAAATCGGGGACTATAAAGAAAGCAGCGAAGTTGTACTTCTCCAAAGTCAATACTAAAACAAACAAACACAGAGCATGCCTATTGTAATTACGTTTGTTGTTTGTGCCGCGCTAAATCTAACCAAAAAATTAGGTACTTCCGTTATCCCGTGTAAAGTGCTTTTTGCCTCTCGACAGAGGCTACTCAGCTCTCACACATTGGCTCACAGCTCGTTCAAACACAACACGACATTCAAGATACGTCACAACATGTTCGTAAAGCAGTATCCGCGCGGGGGAGAAATTTGCCAATAATGTGTGCGTTGTCAACGGGGAGTGCAGCTCCCTCCCCAGCTTTGCCGTTCGCACCAAAGTGCCGGTGGTAGAGATGTCGGCATTAGCAGTCGAATTTAGAGCTTTCCCCTCTCGAGACCACCACCGACGAATTTGGCACTTTCTTTACTGAGCACCAAAGCTTTCGATTGACAGAACGTCATCAAAAGCAAACCGATCCGCCGTTACACCAGGATTTTTTGTACCGCCCGATCATTCCTTCCCCCGCCGCGGAGCTGACGTCACGGTGCCGCATCTCAAAAGCGTGACGTTTCCGTCACGTGATGGACTCTCCGGGCACAAATTTAGCAATATCTTGCCGACATCACGGCGCCACATCTCAAAAGTGTGACGTTTCCGTCACGTGGTGCACTCTCCGGGTAGAAATCTAGGAATATCTTGCTCATGCGAATGCCACTTAAAGATCCCTCTGGCAGAGTGGCTATGGCAACCAGAGTGAAGGAAGGCATTTTCCTCATCGCCGACGTGCACCGCAGCGATTTCTCTTACCTCGGATACTTTCCGTAGCGGCTCCAAAATGTGGGAAGTGTGTATTCCGAACACAAAAGGATTAGCATGAGGGGATTAGCATAGGGGACGGAGCAGGTTCAGCTGCAGAGCATCCTAACACGGAGCTTCTCTTACAGCTTCCGGTGTTCTGGCCTATAAACGTCCATGGCTGTCACGTTCGCTGTCGTGCCGACGTGAGCTCTCTATTCCGAGGTAAATAAGAGGGAAGATACGTTCTCCCACGCTTTGTTGCACACTTTCTGCGAGGAGGCCGATCACGATCGGTCGAACACAACACCTGCGCGTACACGGCATGCTACGGGAGACTCGCCGGATCCTGTTTCTGAGGCCCCCGACGATTCCCCTTCCCCCGAAAGAGAACGCAAACAGAGAAACGACCACGAAAATGTTTAGGTGTCCCGGCCGGCCTGCGACGTTTCCAACATTCTACTACAAAAATGTTGTGTATGTTGATGTGAATTGATTGGGTATGCTGAGAGGGGGGTGCTTTATTTTTAATTTGTGGGTGGTGTGTGGAGGGGGGAAAAAGGTTTCATAAATGAGGCCATGACATGCTCCATCCACCCCCTGCAAAACATAACGTTCTTCGTTTTGTTGATCTATAATTTTTTTGCAATTTGTAAGAGGGAATAAAGTTCATCTGAAATGGGATGTAAAAAAAAAATGTTCAGTGGGGGGTCACTGATTATATTTTAATTTAAAATAATTTGGCCTCCTTTTCACTGCTGAGGCTTTTAAAGTTATGTTACTGGTTTAGCTTGAGCCTCAGGCAATCTCCTTTCTATTGTGAATTGCCAGCTGCAGAGATAGGAAAAGGCTCGAGTTATTCCCTAGTTCCCAGAACTAGGGAATTGTCAGCATCTTGTCCCTATATCCCATTTAACATAATCAAGAAAGCAGCTCTTCCCTGTAATTACTTATTGTGGGAGGTCTTTCTAAAAGAAGGACAATGTAGCAGAGCTACCTTGTCCTCATGCAGAGCATCACTGATAAGGGCATGTGCAGAGTATGACTTAAACTTTGTCCAAATTGAGCATACCTTCAAGTCCTCTTGATCTGAAAACAGCCAAATATGTAGAAATAATTTGTTTCCAGGCAGCTGTTTATAAAAATGTGGAAATTCAGATTAAAAGCTGTTTGTTCCTTTTTATTGTGCAGGAATAGGGTACAAAAAAAAAAGTGGGAGTTGCCATATTTCTTTTGTTGCCTACATTTGGCAAGGAGGCAGGTTATAGGAGAGGAAAGGCGTGTCGAATTTAGAACGTATTTTGTTTCTATGAAAGTAGGGCTATATTAGGCTGTATACTTTTATTTTCCGCTTTATTTAGTTTGAATCGAAAGATTTCTGTGGTATGTCTTCAACCTTTATGAAGGATGCGATGCATTGTTGAGCAAAAGTAAACTGGTGTGAAATCTTTTGTCAGTAAATTTTCACTCAACACTATCATCCGCTAGGAATTAAAAAGCTGGCTTTCGTGGGCTGACACAAAAGGGGGGGATGCATTGTTTAACTATGATATGGGAGCCAAATCAACGCTTTTTGCGATTTTCTGAATGAAAAAATATTTTGTTACTTTGCGTAATACTGATGAATGCAGGATGTATCATGATTTGGAATCGATCTATTTGGAGTTGTTTTGCCCGTTCAACTTTTGGGGTTTTTGTTACTACGAGTCACATGATTGATGCCACTGTTGGTCGCGTAACATAATGTCGAGTCACATTACTGTGGAATTGCTGTGCCACGTCATCTGGCAAGGGACACATGATGTCGCAGTAATATTTGATGTTGCAGCGTCGCGTTCCTCAAATTTTGCAGGAAAACTTGTTAAACGCCGGAACATGCAGAAACTACTTCATTCAAGTTCTCTCGTTGAATATGGCGAGAAAACATTTTACCAAATATGGGCCACGTGATCTGTCCGTATTATTGTGTTACCAAAATAACTTTTTGCGATGCTCTAGAGTTGGAAAGCAGCCCTAAGCACACTCTGGGTTAAAGGCGTGAACCTCTCTGTGTTTTCGTCTGCCACGGTACAGATGGAAGAGGAGATTGAGAGGCTTGGCGGAGGCCTGAGGAACCGCAAGCACACCCTCCTCCTCGCCCGGCTCATGGTCAGGGGCGAGGACATCGAAACCCGCAAGCGGCTGCTCAACATCATCACGGTGAGTGGTGCCGTCTCTCTTAGTCTTAGAAAGACTTAGAACTAACCGTTATCTTGTTCAAAAGTTGTCATTTTCCGAAAAGTTGAATGGGGAACTGGCGGCAGACGGACCTCTCAAATACATGAAACTGAATGGTGCCAGGGTTGGAAAAAGGGATAAAAACAAGCACCATTTTTTTTTTTTTTTTTTTTTCAAAAATGTTTAGAAAGTTGCTTGTAACTTGTGATTGAAATAATGGTTGGTTTTGAAGCTTTGGCACCTGGTTCGGATCACAAGCGTTATGTTTGGGTAGAGAATGAGCGTTTGGCAGTGGAAAAAACCTTGTAAATATTTTTTTTATGTGGGGGGGGGGGGGGGAGAGTACTGTTTTTATTTTTTCTATTTTTATATTGCAGATCTTTGGGTTATCCTTGTAAATTACAAATAGCACATATTTTTTTTTCTTATTTGTGCAGTTTTGTGGTAACTTGTTGACAATAGTAAATAATGTGTGTTGTGTTTAAGCCAAATAAGTGTAAGGTTTTTATTTTTTTATAGTATACATTAAGTTAATGAAAAAAAAAAAAAAATTGGGTTGTGTGTGTGTTTATACAGCCTAGAACTTGGTCTGCCTCACAGGGGCGACGAGTCTCCCAGCTGTAGATGAGCAATTTAGCCAGTGCAGTACAACTGCTAGCCTGGGGTCTTTAACGTGCACCACGCAGTAGTGATACACGGTCGCACGCCGGTACGATGCTCATCCAGATTGAGACGGGCAGGGGTGGGGCTCGGACCCAGGATCCCTTGGTTCTGCAGCGCGAGCTTTCGCTCCACGTGCTCCGAGCTGGTGTGCGCTAGCCCACTCGGCCACCGATCCCCCAAATTAATGGAGATAGCTGAGAGCTCAGCTTGAACTCCAGTAAAATCTCAGCTGGGTGAGCACACTTATGAAAGTCCCCAGCTGGAATCCTCTGCCTTTGTGAAGGTTTGGTTGTGCAAATAATCTGTTAAGTACCTATTCTGGAGTTCACTGAAGTGAGGTTTCTTCTATTAATGCAAAAGCACTAACTATCCCATGGAGCAAGGGGGGGGGGGCGAGCGCATGTTTGACTGCCGCTCTTGTCTCAGGCAATGCCGGGAAAGGGGGGGGGGGGGCTGCAGCCACTTCACGAGAGTGCAAACTCGGCCGCCACTCTCTGTTGCTGGGGGGGGGGGGGGGGGGGGGCGGGCGGGCGGGCGGGGGGGGGGGGGGGGGGGGGCGGGGCGGCAGGCAGGAGGGCGGGGGGGGGGGGGGGGGGGGGGGGCGGCAGGCAGGAGGGCGGGGGGGGCGGCTGCGGCTGCGGCTGCGGCTGTGGCTGCTTCTGCTTTTCTCGACTCATAGGAACATGGCGGCGCCTAAGGCATCTACTGTGTTTGCACAATTCTAACGCGCAGGCAGATTTAGCTCTCAGATATGCAAAAAATAAATTGCTGCCGATTCTACCGCGCTGGTCAAACAATAAAGGTTGAACACATACCTCATAGAACAGATTTTATGGAGTGCACGTCAATACAAAAATAAGTGCCGTGCAGTATTCACCATTGTCGTGGTCCAACGATGGTTCTTCTCTGTCCACAGAGATGATCCTTGCTTTTGTCTAAAGCGTTTTAGCTGCCGCGCTTCTTGCGCTTGTACAAGTGCGCGTTCGTCGCCTCTCGGAACGTCGTCTTCCAAACAGCTTTGCAAGCTCGTTGGGTCGCTGAGATTGCAAGGCCATGCAGTACTGCTCCATCATCTCTTCTCGCCAGCGTGATGGTCTTTTGTTTAGATAAAGCCTCCTAGTGGAGTTTCTTTTTTTTTTTTCATCTTAAAACGACAAACACGAGTCAGTAGACTCGAGAAATTGCGCGTGATATGGTTACCAAAAGGCCGAAGGTAAACAAACGGTCACGATGGTGATGGGGCTAGCCACCTGGTACCGACCATTGCGTTTTTCTTTTTGAGTTTCGGTTTTTGGTTTTGATTGTAACACGCATGTATTTTTGGGCACCGATCTTGGCGAAAAAAGGTGTGCCTTAAAATCGTGCAAACACGGTATATCGGCGGCGGCCGCAACCCCAGCAGTAACGAAACGTGGCCGTCCATGCCACTACGCCGCAGACGAACTAAGGGAGCGGAAGAACGACATTCATGCTTTCGCATTCACAACTCAAAAGGGCTTAGGTGTCCTCAAAATTTTTTTTCCCCTCCAATTCAGAGTTCGGTTGCTCAAAACTCACTACATGGAGGGCTTTTCTTGTTTTGTTTGCTACATGTAAGTTTCTAAAGAAAAATTTAGGTCATGTTATCAAGGTCCTAAATAGGTGCGTTGTTGTTGTCTTAATCCAGAGCACCACGGAGACGGCGTGCCTGCGTCTGTTCCTGGACTACCACGGACTTTCTCTGCTCTGGAGCTGGATGGTCGACATTCCGGACAACGAGCTTACACTCAAAGCTGAGGCAAGTTTCCGAGACCAACGGGCTAATTCGTTGACGCTCTGTCTTGGGAAAGGAGCTTGAAAATTACAGTGTGGAGTCTCTTTAAGGAATTCAGTGAAGCAGGTGATGACGTCACGTCACCGACACGGTGCCGCACGACGTCACGGTGTCACGTGGGTCGGCCGTGTCGCCACACTCGCGTAACAAGGTGCACCGGTGGCTCCGTAGTAGAGCTCCCGCTTACAGATCCCCTGTCGGCGGGTTCGAGTTTCAGCTGAGGTGATTTCGGTTTCACTTCAAAGAAGTCCCGGCTGGTTCAAACTAAACCTCGGTCATATGCACAACCTTTCCACTCTCAACCTTTCCGCTCTGGTTTTCACCAGAGTGGAAAGGCTGAATTTCTCTATTCGTTGTCCCAGAAGTTGTCCAAGAGGTTGTCCTCGAGGTCGTTCTACAAGTCATCCTTGAGGTCCTAGACGTTGTCCTAGAAGCCGTCCTTAAAATCGTCCTAGACGTTGTCCTCGGGGTCGTTCTAGAAGTCGTCCTTGAGGTCGTCCTAGGCATTGTCCTCGGGGTCGTTCTAGAAGTCGTCCTTGAGGTCGTCCTAGGCATTGTCCTCGGGGTCGTTCTAGAAGTCGTCCTTGAGGTTGTTTTAGAAGTTGTCCTTGAGGTCGTCTTTGAAGTCGTCCCACTTTGCTGGTCTTCTTCACCAGAGTGGGAAGGCTGAGAGTTTTTGTTGTTGTTCTTTTTTTGTAGAAAAAGATGTGCAATGCCGCTTAAAGAACTGTAAAGGGGGCGGAGCACTCATCGGGCTCCGCCCCCTTTAGTCTCTGCCCCCCTCCCGATGAAATAGGGAAAAAAACAAATAAAGAAAGAAAGAAATGCACGCAGTGGAAAAGGACAAGGACCAGTACACTAGTTCTTGTCCTTTTGCTCCACATGCTGCAAATCAGCCCTGAAACACGCTTTGCGTCGAAACTAAGCGACATGAAGCTTGAACGTGCAACGTCTCGCCGGGGCCACCCGCAGATCCTGACGGTGCTGCGCCGGCTGCCGATCCCGAACAAGACGATGGTGAAGGACAGCAAGGTGATGTCGGTGGTGCACCGGTGGGCGTCCCAGCTGGCCGAGGCGCGGGAGCGCCCCAGGGAGTGCGCTGGGGAGGAGACCCCACCCCCGCCCAAGAAGCAGCGCGGCAAGGGAGGCGCCAACGACGACTCCAACAACGGCAGCAGCAGTGGCGCCGCCTCGGAGGAGGCCGCGGGTGGAGGGGCGTCGGACAGCGACGCCTCCGAGAGCTCCAACGGGTGAGGCCGCATTTTACGCTTACGGCCGTTACGGGGACTTGCCAGGTGCGTTTGCAGCAGCGTTGTGCCGGGAATGCCTTCCAGTGTGCCTTGGAGCGTCAAGGAAAATGCAAGGAATGGTGTTCCACGCGCCGCACGTGCTGGCATCTGCAGCAGTAACTGTTCTAAAGCAAAAGTCTAAAACAATTGGCATCTTGCATGCGCATTCGTCAACGCTTTATTTTGGTTATTTACTTCGAATCTCTTATACAAGGAAGGCATGCGCGCGTGCTGTGGTGCGAGTGTAAAAGATTTTAGGTGCTGCACACAAAAAATCCATGAAACCCTAGCCATAAACAGCTTCTTTGCTGTAAAAAGCACAAACGTTGTTTGGACCCATAGCCACAGGGTCAAGTGTAATGTCCAACCGCGAGGTAAATTTTTCAGTGCAGCACACATGGTAAAATTGCAACGGAGGAAACATTTAACGTTCTCAAAGGAGTGTTTAGTCAGTGGCATTGACCCAAGTGTGCAGTATGCTCCCTTTGCTACATACTTCAGTGACCACAAGGCTGTGTTGTGTGTGTTCTAAATAATTGAGTGGATATGCTTGAAAGTGGTTACTGAGTGCAATAACAGCTATCATTGTCGTTTCTTGGAACGCTGCGGCGAAAAGCTGCGCGGATTTTTCGTTTGGCAGCAGCGTCGTGCACTCTGGGATAACTTTCATTGGCCACGCGGTCAAAGCCACGGGAGTGCCGACTAAAGCCGTCCTCTGCTTGCTACCAGGTGCACGACTCCGGCGTCGGGTGCGTCCCGCCGTTCCCTGACTGGTGCCGTGGTCTGCTCTCCCGACTCGACCAACCCCGTAGAGAATGGGGACTCCGCCGAGCGACCCAAGGGGCCGGCGGACGACGGGGGCAAGGTGGTCAAGGAACTGTCACAGCTGGCGTCCACCCTGCTGGACTCCTGGAGCGAGCTCAAGGTGGGACCCCCGCTTGACTGGAGAGACGCCCAAGGCGATTTCGGACTTAAAAGAGCTATGCAACAGTTTCAGTGCTCTGCTTAAATAATTTGGGAGTTGGTGTCTCGACCTTTCTGAAGTAAAGAACGAAAACCGCTTTTACCTGCATGTCCTAGTTTTTATTTTAAAAATGGACAAAGATTGAGGTTCTCGGCACCTCTTAACTCCTTTACCATCTTCCGAGTCACGTGCGCTGTGACATCGATGGGGGTGGCCCAAGGGTTCTGGTGAAGCTCTCTTTAGAGCCATCAGTGAGCAGCGAGAGCTCATCTGCTCGCGACCGCGTGACCACGTGCTGGCAGCACAGCGCAAACAATATGGTGATTGGAGGAAAGTCTCATCTGGGTCCGGCCATACCCGTCCGGCTCTGTCCCCCTCCCCCTCCGGCTTTTGGCGGCTGTTCGCGGTAGCAGATAGAGCTGACAGTTTTGTGGACCTAGGATAGATGGCGCCACTAAAACTCCGTATAATAAAAATTTTGTCGATGATACCGGGTTTCTGACGCATTTATATTTATGTTGGAACGACTATATTTATAGAAGAGCTACCCTTTATCGAGCAGGCATTCGCACAATTTGCTATCTTTCTACAAGACCCCCATTGACGTTATGCCGCGTGTTTCTCGCGGCTGCAGGTGAAGGAATATTCTAATTTTTGCCTTGCGATTACGCGGCGGAATTGCGACATTTCGAAGGAAGGAGGTGTGTTTTCTGTCCTTTGTGACAAGGTGAACAGTGTCAAAAGTAGAAGATGCCAATTCTTTCAACGTTAAAATCATTGCAAAGCTCCTTTAAATGCGTGCCATTTATAGAGCCAGTCTTGGGGATGTGCCATTTATAGAGCCAGTCTTGGGGACTGGCGATGATCTAACATTCTAACTTATAGTGCATGCTCTCCGGTCTGTCCGATGTAAACATTGCCACAGGACAATTCAATGTTGTAAACTACACCGACAGCGCACAGCACATACAATGCCTTGCGGTTCTTTCCACATACAGGACTCTTAATCCTACCCCTGTTGACTTCAGCACAAAAACGGCCTAACTTCGAAGGCGCCAAAAAAACCACTAACACTTGTAACTTTTCGGCGCCTTTTTTTTTTTTTTGATGATTGTGACGCTTGTCGATTTGTATGTTTTCTTCCAATAAATCAGTTGAGAGTCAGCGATTTGTCAGTACACTTCGTCTGATTGTCCTCCGTTTTTTTGGCACTTTTACTTTTTTTCTTCAAACATGTACCACCAACTTGCACAACTTTCTATCATGTTTGGGGACGTAGCCTCGATGGTCTTGCAGTTTCTTGCGGTGCTCCAACGTCTTTATAATATTGGTGTGAAACGTTTGTTTGGCTCGGTATTTGGAAGTTCGTGAAGCCTGAATAAAAGCGTGGCTGGGAGGCTCGACACTGATATGTTGACAAGTGGGAGAGGAAGAGTGAGTTGCTCGACACCAATTGGTTAACGGGGAGGTCACATGACCAGGGGGGTAGGTGAGAAGGAGCTGTACCAGCTGTGCACACTGAGGGAGAAAACCTTGCAAGTATGGAAGGCTCTCGAAGATCGCCAGGTTTATCAGCCCAATTAGCGGTACTATCACTTTGTCCTAGGAACGACTATCAAGTGTACACACGCGTTAAACTATCCGACGAAGAGCGCCGTGAACATCGTTTTCTGGAAACTAAGCATTTGCGATGCTAGAACGTTTTACGTATGCAACACAATTGCCTAGCAATTTGCCATAAATCTTTCAGAAGATCCTTGCCTCTCGACAATGGCCTCCCACAAAGAAAGGAGCGCGAAGAGGCCCTACAAATGCTACGCATTTAGAGAACGCCTTTGGGAAATGCCGAGGGAACAGCCAATTTGTTTGTCTGAAATCGCTCGTCTGGAATTGCTTTCTTTGGACACTGTACACGCAGCAGTTGAAGGCACGTTTCAGGCACCTTAATCAAAATTATCCTCCGTCCTTCGCCAGGGCGTCCGAGACTCTCTTTATTGGCTTGGCACCTAAAACCCCCCAAACTCGACCTTGACACGGTCCGAACTGTCGTGCGAGGAACGTGGCTCACGTGACGGTCCTGGCTTCCGCAGGAGGTGTTCCGGATCCCACGCCTGGAGCAGCAGAAGCGGCGGGAGGACGAACGCGAGGCCGACCGGAAGGAGCGCGAGCACAACCGCCAGCAGCGTAGCCGAGAGTCATCCTCCTCCGCCGCCTCCGGCCGGGATTCGCGCCGCAGGGGCTCTCCGCCGTCGAGCGGACGCGACCGCAGGGACCATCGCGGTGAGTCACGTCTTGCGTCGGAAGCCGTCGGAGGCAAGGTTCGCATCAGGTCCTCAGGCGTGGTTTCCCGGGAAGGCTGCCCGGACTGGGATGTTTCTCCGCCGAATTTGGCGGGAAAATGTATCTACCGAGCATTACGGTGTCGTGCGATGCCGTGACGTATCGCGCATGACACTGCGGGGTCACTGACCTTGGGATATTGTCACGTGACGCCGTGATGTTATGCGACACGATTAGCGTGCAGTGTGATAGCGTTAAAGTCCGTGCGTGGCAGAGCGCATTTCTCGACTGTCGTCACAGTTAAGACACTAAATTTAGGTGACATGGCACCAAGTCATGTGATGTCATTTTCCCCGCTAAATTAGCGGGATTTTGAATTGGTGTTGAGGTCAAGTGACTTCAATTTTCCCGCTAAATTGAGCGCAGTTAAGTCGACGCTGCTCAACCCGGAGACGGGCGCCTAAGAGCTGCACTCTAGAACTGAGTTTGATATAGAGATGTACTAATCCATGTCAGCCTCACCAAAGGGGTTCAACTGTATATCACCCTTCATTCTAGTTATGTTCTGTTGTATGTTAATCTTCACCCAGAAGTTATACCATATTTTGGTCTTCACTATGGAGGTTCTACCTTATTCACCATGTTCGGAGGGCGTTGACGGCATTCGGCGCATCAGTATTTTGTGCCTCAGTACACTTCCGGCACTGCATTTACTTGCTCTTCTGCAACGTACCATAAGCAAACTGGTGATTTTCTAGTTTTTTTTCGGACACCAATGATTGTAATTTTTTTTACGAAAGAAAGCAAAAGGATGCAAAACAAAAATCGGTAGCGAGCTTGTTTGCAAACTAATACCAGCGAATATCGATGAAAAGACAGCTATTGTGCAGGCAAGCTGCTGATAGTTAATCACAATGTTTAAAACACAAGACTGTGGTGAGGCAAAAATAGAAAACTTTGAAGTCGAAAAAAAAAATAATAAAATTAGGCACAGGAGAAGCCGTTTGAATATCAATCAGTTTTTGCTATAGAAGTTTTACCTCATATCAATCTACTACCGTGAAACCCCGAGAGATGCCCTATTCCCGAAAGATAGCCCACCCCTATTTTTGGCTTGATTTGCTATATGTTTTTAAACACCAAAAGATAGCCCACTTTTAGTAATCGTAGTGTTGGGATCAATGATGGCCTCAACTTAAATGCGGCTAGTTATCTATGGCGGAATATAAGCGAGTGTTGCTAGCTGGGTAGTACGGTCATCTTTGCTTCGTTGCCCCTCGTCACCATAACAAGCTTTGAAGGGACACATGACCTAAACATTGCATTTTTTAAACTTTTCTTGATTATATACCGAAAGTTAGCCCACTCATATTTTCACCCGATTTGCTCGCGATTTTTGGTGGGCTATCTCTAGGCTGTATACTTTCCGGTTTTAACCGAAAAACACCGATGCACATCCGCTGGTGTTGAAAATACAAAATTGGTTAAAACCGAAAAACATCTTTTTTTTTCTTTTTTTTTTAATATTTTCGAGCAAGTGTTTGCTTTTCAACGAAAAAGTTCGGTTAAAACAAACTAAAAACTAGGCATGGGCGAATAGAGGATTTTGAGTCCGAATCGAATTCGAAGCGAATAGTGATTTTGGTCGAATAATTTCGAATCGAATAGTTCGAATAGTACTAGCAAAAAATACCACAAAATATGTTTAAACTATAGTTTTATATTTGCCCTTATTTGGTATTTGATATACTGTAATTGTTAATTTCAAGTGTATTGAGTTCGGTAGCACGAAACGGTCGGAAGCTTGCGCCACCTGGCCGTAAATCCAAGCCAGAGTAAGTGAAACCCGTTTATATTGAACTTGCAAAAAAAGTCTACCAGTTCGATATAGCGGGTAATTAGATATAAAAGTTTTAATGAACTTGACTCTCAAAAATCACCTTTCTGCTGAAATATTACACAATGAAGTAGTCTTGCATCTTCTGCTGCTTTTTCTTCATTGCATCCGCGATAACGATATTTTTCTACGCTATCGACGGACTCCAAAATTCTTGGGCTGCTGCCTTCTATATTCGCGCATTAGCGCCGAAATATGCCGAGAGCACGGAGCACGTCCAACGGGAGCACCTCCTGCAGAGCGCCGTTTTGCTCTGTAAGTTGGCTTTCCCCTAAAACAGGTGGTGCGTTGGGGGAAGCCAACTAGCAAAGCAAGCTGGCTTTTTTTTTCCCTCTCTGGGCGGCCGCGTCAATTTGGAAGAAAAAATAATATTCTCTTTTGCGGACGGACCACGGAGCACCGTCTCTCCGCAGAAGATATATTTTATTTTTTTCTGAACAGTCGACGCGGCCGCCCGAAAAAAAAAAAAAAAAAAAAAAAAAAAAAAAGTTAGCGTGTTTTGCAAGCTGGCTTTCCCCCAATGTGGCTGCGCGTTGGGGGAAAGCCAGCTTGCAGAGCAAAACGGCGCTCTTGGCAGTTCGATATATCGGTAGCGGCTGCTATTTTTGTTCGATGCAACCATAGTTTTTGCTATATATTATCACTGTAACATTACTGTGCACAACAATTGTTCGATATAAGGAATAATTCGATGTAAACGGGTTCGATATAGTCGGGTTTGACTGTATTTCGAAAGGTCGAATAATTCTATATTGTCGAATAATTCAATATTGTCGAATAATTCGATTTTGTCGAATACTTAAATTCGATTCGAAGCGAATACCGAATAGAACAGAATTCGATTGGCTATTCGTATTAACCGAATATTCGCCCATCCCTACTAAAAACACCAATAAACATCCGCCGGTGACGGAAATAAAAAATGTTGCAAGCGACAGAAATCTTGTTTCTAAATATTTTTTCAAAGCAATGTTTTTTTTTTTCTTTTTTTCACTGAAAACGTCCTACGGAAACTTCCGTCAAACACATTATCTTACCCAGAATCATGCACATTGTCTGTCTTTCTTTTGTGGCCTACGTTGTCTTGGACTCTTGGAGGACAGTAGTTTCGTTCCACTGTTGTCCAAGGTCAGCGGTCCTCCTAAGCCACCGACCGTGAAGATCACTATCAGTGGCCCGAGAGGCCAGTCACAGCTGGCCAGTAGCTGTCCCAAGCCACGTTAGACGTTTTGGGGCTTCCCGTGTCCAGTGCGAATGTTAGCAGGCATTCTCGAAATTGCGCGTCGTCAACAGGAAGGAGTGATAGACACGAGCCTAGGAATGTATGTGTGCATATACTACTATAATCAAGTGTGAAAGAGATTGTGTAAAAGATGTAAATAAAATTTGAACTGATTTTTGTCCTCAGTGGTCGTTTACATTCGCAATTTTTTCCCCCGATAATCACCGTTTTTAGCGTCTGCACGAAAGAATTCACCGAAAAGCACCGGTATTCTAGAAATAATTTAACACCAATAAACATCCGCCGATTTTTGTCATAAATAAACACCGAAAAGTATACACCCTAGCTATCTCTTGGGATTTTACGGTATATAAGTAGCGTAAAATACCGGGGGAGAGCCCACCCCACTTTAACTAAAAACTGGGTTGATCTAGACACTGGCTCTTGTCCAGCCAAATCGGGTGGTTAACGCATAACTTGCAGAATTCACATGTATGGGGAACTTTAACAGTGGGCGCTTCTGCGGTATTTTACAGTAGGTTCTAGTGTATTCCAGTCTTCACTATAGATCGGTTCTACCGTATTTTTGCTTTCACTCTAGATCGGTTGCACTCTATATCGGTCTTCACTGTAGATAGGTTCTCCAAGCTCCAAAATGATTTGTGCGTGTCCTCGTGACGCAGACTACGACCGTTCATCCGACCGCCGCCGCTACTCGGCGTCGCCCGAACACCGGGACGACAAGAAGTCCTACCAGAGGAGCTCCGACAGCCGCAGCTCCCGCTCTGGCGATCCCGCCCCTTCCTCGTCGTCCAAGCCCAGAAAGTGAGTGACCTCGTTCCGACGCCTCGAGCTGACGTTTGACGTTAACGTCTCTTGCGCGTGTTGTTTGGCACCGTCCTAGTCTTCCGCGGCCTGGCTTGTCGTCTTTGTCGGGGGAATTCGTTTAGAGCATTGGGGAAGGGTGCCACGTAAAAGATGGCTTCGGGGATCATGTTTGGTGGGAAAGTGTCTGGTGGATTAAGTTGTACACCCGTCACTTTGAAGCTAACTGAGAATTCACAATTGAGTGCATACCCCTTGACACGCAGAAGTGTTGGGAGCATCACGAGACGATTCACAGATTGCCCACGGCACATTTGAGTAAATGGCAACGTCTGGCGATGTCCCGACCAACTGTGCGGCATTTGGACCACTCCTGGGACAGGGTTCCGTTTTATTGGGGAACATTGTTAAGCGGTCGGCAAGCTTTTCGTAGATACATGAAGCCATATAAAGTAAAATGGCAGCCGTTAGATAGCTTTACCCTACCTGTTTTCACCTAATCCTGACTTCTGGCATCACCGGTTAATATCATTATCTCTTGTTGCGGTAAAGCTTGGGAAGTGCAGTACTTTTATCGCCAAAGTGACTCTTGCCTTTGATAACGAAAGGATACACTGGAAACTGAGGCTGGATGAAGGGTTTCTGTGACTGAAACAGTGTGAGCGTGTGTCCCATTTATCCAGTAGTCTTAGTTACTTCTTGTCTCAATGACCCTACATTGCTTTTCGTTTTTGATACGACTCGGTTACTTTTTGTCTCACCCTTTTTTGCCGAGGCTGTGGCGACGCTTTTGTGAGTGCCGCAGCGATGCTAAAGGTTTCTCGCCTTGTCTCGCCTTCACTTTCAGTTCGTACCCACGCCGTGAATTAGGGGCGTCTCAAAAGGGACTTAGCGGCAGTCCTGCAAGGTAGATTTGCTTTTGTTTGCCGTTTGCTGCATTGCTTCCTCAGCGCCACCGCTTCTCTTTTTTACTTTTGTCAACGGCACTCTGGCTTAACGCTTTCTTCGCTGCCTATCATTTCCAAGTCCTCGCGGGAGTAGAGCCACTGTACTCGTGCTCTGATAGGAAGCAGAGCGTACTGCCATTCCTTGGTGAATGCATCAGAAGCTGACCATGAACTTTTCATGCTATTCTAATGTAAAGTAGGTTTGCGGTATCCTCTTTTTTGCCGGAGACCAGATCACTGATTGGCTGGTGCTGGTAAGCATGCAGAACAACAATTTGGCATGGTGTTTGCATGCTTGTGTAATTGGTTACGTACAAGCATCAGAGGTCGGCATTTTAGGTCGCCCTCACTCACCCTCACCCTCACAGCCACATTCACCTAAGCCCCTCACTCACCCTCACCCTCACAGCTACACTCACCTTCAGCCCCTCACTCACCCTCACCCTCACAGTCACACTCACCTTCAGCCCTTCACTCACCCTCACTGAACCTCACGGCCCTCACGCACTCACCGCCCTCACGGCCCTCACGCCCCTCACTCACTCATGGCCCTCACGCCACTCACCGCCCTCACAGCCCTCACCGCCCTCACGGCCCTCACCGCCCTCACCGCCCTCACGGTCCTCACCGCCCTCACGGCCCTCACGCACTCATAGCCCTCACGCCCCTCACGGCCCTCACGCCACTCACCGCCCTCACGCCACTCACCGCCCTCACGCCCCTCACCGCCCTTGCGGCCCTCACACCCCTCACGCCCCTCACGCACTCCTGGCCCTCACGCCACTCAGGCCAGCTTCAGATGGGGCAATTTCGCCCAGAAACTTTACGTCGCAACAACAGCAACACGGGCCGCCCGCGATCACACGCAGCAACCAATTGCTGCAATTTGCCATCGTCATCATAAAAATTTTATTTTTCTTGCACTATCTAGACAAAATTACGCGTTATAAACGTGTTTTGATGCATTTAAACCTCGGTAAGAATACTAATACACCTTTCTGAAACAGTTTATTTCCAAAAGAACGATCGATTTCAAACCAGAACCAAGTCTTTCGGTGTCATCATCACCGGCACGATGTATCACGTGAAAATTTTGCGTCCCTGATTGGATGCAGCCGCTTCAAACGTATTCGAATTGCTCCGAGTTGCTTGCTTATTTTGAGCCGAACCCGATCTCAGCAATCCGTGTCGATCTAGGGAAAGCTAGAGAGCAATCCGCCATTAACACCAAAGTTGCTGAGAAAGATGCTCGATCTGAAGGGGGCCTCGCGCACTCACTGCCCTCACGGCCCTCACGCCTCTCATGCCACTCACTGCCCTCGCGCACTCATGGCCCTCACACCCCTCACGCACTCACCGCCCTCACACCACTCACGCACTCATGGCCCTCACGCCACTCACCGCCCTCACGCCCCTCGCCGCCCTCACGGCCCTCACGGCCCTCACCGCCCTCACGGCCCTCACGGCCCTCACCGCCCTCACAACCCTCACGGCCCTCACGGCCCTCACCGCCCTCATGGCCCTCACTCACCCTCACACTCATGAATTTTCCTGGTTCAGAAACTCACTCACCCTCACCTCACCTGTGGAGATGAGGGTGAGTGAGGGTGAGTGAGGGCCCTCATGAGTGAGGTTTGCCGAGGTATGACAAGCATACATTAATGCACACTGAGAAGGATGATCTTTCGAGGCTCTAAATTCTGCAGGCTTATTTGCTGCCAAATGCCGAAAGGTGCTTCAGTTAGCGCAGCAATACCTTGCTTCCTGCAGAGCATATACAGTGGCTTTATGTGGGAGAAGAGGAGAAGAGAAAAACATTGTCAATGGGCTTCTGGCTTTATTTCTGCTTTGGGTTTCTGCATGTGTTGTGGGCGTTACCTTTCTCTCGTGTGTTTGCCATCAGTGTCGGTGCTCGAACCGAGGGGGCAAATCATATCGAAGTAGTCTCAAAACGTCCAGCCTGCGCTTCTTTTGGAAGCAGGTTATGTGAATGAGAGTTCTTTCGAGAACTGCTAGAAGTGAAACAGATGAAACTGGAATTTTCTAGTTTCAATTTCATGAGTTAGTGGCGTGTCAATGAAGACTTTTGGTGTAACTTGCCCTCTGGGTGGCTAAGTTGCTGCTATCTATGACTTGTGTGCTGTTTTTAGGGGATGTTTACATTGCTGTGTGCACATGTTAGCAAGAATTTTGGGTTGAATGGATAGAAACTACCTATGTTGTTCACATGAAATAATTTAGAAACACTGTAGCTGTTTTTCACAATACCGAGCATCTGCAGTTACTGGTACGAGTTCTCACTTTTTTTAAACTAGTCGACGAGAGTGCATGCAGCATACACATGTTTAGGTGAGTCAAGCAAGTTCTCACTCGTAGTTGTGCAGCAGTTGTAATTTTGGGTGGCTTAATTCGAAAGCAACCACAATGGAATGGCAAGTGCGAGATTACGGTCCTACAGTGGTGCTTTTGGTACTTGGCATACCCTTAGTAGGTGAAAGCAGTTAAAATGAGAAATCTATTATGAACGCTAGTATTGAAGGGCCCAGCCTTCAACACGGCCACGTGAAAGGGGGACTATCATCTCTCTCCAGTAGTGAAGAAGACTGCAAAGGCTACACTTACGAGCTGGTTGCTCTAGAAAGCGATTGGGATATGCAGACTTCCGTGGACGAGACGAAACCAGGAAGGCTAACAGGCGCCCATTGCTCGTAATTTTTGTCTCTGCATCGAGGCAAAATGAAATATAAAGAGGAAGGACACCTCATTTTTCATTATTGACAGTTTTAAACTCCTTTTTTTTTTCTTTTTTTGCTTGGCGGTGGTGTTAAGGGCTAGGTTCCCTTGGATCGTGTCCCGTATCAAACGCCTGTCGACACAAACCTACTTGGACAGCTACCGCCACCTATAAGCGACGGCGGCAAGCACGCAACCAGTCTGGTTGCCGCAATCGCTCATAAATGGCGGCAACCTTTCCAGCTATGATAGAAGAATGGATAGTTGGGTGCGTTAATGGAAATTCATCGTAGGGAACAGCGCGAAAAACGGGCAACAGACAAAGAAGAAGCACACGTAACGAGCATAGCGCTCGTCATATGTGTTTCTTCGTCCTCGTCTGTTTTCGCGCTGTTTCCTACGCTCTTATCAGTTTAGGTTTGGAATAAGGATGGGTCGGCTGCGCGCCCTTTCGGGGAAAGAAGACTGGTTGTGGAGGCCCAGCGACGACTGGACTCCACGCCGGCTAAATAATTCCCGGGCACGATGGCGAGGTTTCGGAGGGAGTTCGTGGATTACCCGTTTGGCGTCACGTGCGTCGTGTGCGACCGACTCTGGTTCGTTGGAGACGTATCCACGATCGGCGGCGTGCCAGACAAGAAGAAGCGGGAAACGGGCGCGTGCGCATTGCGGCAGTGTATCGAGGACAGCTCCGCTAGTCTTCCTTCTTCACGAGAGTGGAAAGGCTGAACGTTTTTTTGTTCCTTCTATACAGTCAAACCCGTTTATGACGAACAGCAGGAAACGCTACGATCAGTACGATATAGCAAGTAGGTAGTTCGATATAGCAAACACCATTGACAATAAACTTCCACGATGATTTCGTTGTAATGCTAGAGCTTCTCTTTCTTTCTCATCTCTTCACTTCCGCCTTATAACAACGCGCTAGAAAGTTTGTATTTTTTTGCTTGCAGAGTTTGTTTTTTTAGCTTTCTCCCCTTCTGAATCGCTTCTCTTCGCTCAATTTTGTTCGCAACTTGAGCTTTTGAAATTTTCTTCCTTTCCTACTTCTTTTTTGGGGGAAGGGACAGGTTAGAAGATGGTTGTTTGCGCGCTTTTGGAAGCCTTCTCGGGGGAAAAATGTTTGATATAGCCAATATGTTGTTTTTTATAAAACATACTTTTTACATACATTTTTATTTAAATTTTTTGTAAGTTCGATATCGACAATAATTCACTGTGCGTGGGTTTGTTCTAAACGGGTTTCACTGTATTAGTTGAATTTGTGTTGTAGAATTGCCAGGAAAAAACCTTTAGTCCAGAAATTTAAAAATGTCGAGATTTTTAACATCTCTCGAAGTCTAGTTTGAAATTGTCGAAGCTCTTGTATGCCCCGTTTCACCTTGCGGTGGCCCGCAAAGGACAGACACTACGGGCCATCAAAGCCGATCCAGTGCATAGTAAGTGCACGCGACCTTTAGAAGGGGCTCATTGATGCACGGAACAATGGTCACGTGATGCATACACAGCGCTGGACAGGCTGGGATGGCTGCGCGGCATTTGCCGGTGCAGTCGGTTGTAAAGTGAAATGGAGGATTCCAGAAGTCTCGAGATAGCCAGGAGCCTAGAGATGTCAATGTATGGGGGAAGCACTATGTTTGCAAAGTATGGTCACAAAGAGGTTGAGAATGACAGGCTCGTAGACTATTTGCTTCGACAGTAACCTTACGGTAGACTCGAAATTGACGACCTTCCCCCTCTCCCTCCTCCAAACTCTCGGCAATTCGAAAGGACCCTGCTGCCGACGCCACCCCGTCTGTCAAAGGAAGAACGGCGCCAACTCTTTGCCCTCGAAGTTCAACAGCGGGACCAGGAGGAGGCGCTGCGGCGGCAGTACCTCGCGCCGCCTGCCAACGGCGCCAACCCGGCTCCGCCCATGCCCGGCGCGTCTTTCCTCCCGCCCCCGGGGATGGCGCAGGCCCCGCCTCCTGGTGTGGTGCCCGCCCTGGTCGCCAGCGGGCCGCCCCCGCAGCAGAATCCACTGTTCGTCTACGATCCGGCTACGGCCGCGGCTGTGGCTGCGGCCATGTACGGAGCGCAGCCGCCGCCGGGGCCGGCCTACTACGACCCGAGGGCGGGCATGCCGCCGCAGGAGTACGTCATGCAGCACAGTGAGTGGACGGCTCGTTGTCGGCTTTGGCTTTGTAGACTCGCATTTCTGCCGGCTGCTAGTTGCAGCTCTACGGGTGTATGCTTTGTCGCAGTATGGTTTTTGGCCGAAGGTGGAACGTTTGGTTTCTAAGAATTGTGTCTGTACTGGCTCCTAGTTGTGGCAGATTGGGCGACTACTTTGTCTTATCAATGCTTGGCCGAAGCCAAAGCCAACGTTTGGCGGGAGTATGTCATGCACCCCTGTGAATTGATACCCTGTCTCGTTATGGCTTTGGCTGAAGCTGGAACTTTTGGCAGGAGTATCTAAGGCAGCACAGTGAATGGACATTTTGTCTCCTTGCGGCTTTGGCTTTAGCTGAAGCCAAAGTGTCTGGCTTTGGGGACTTGCGTTTCTACTGGCTCTAGTTGCAGTACGGCGAGTACAATGCAACCCACTTATAACAATAATGAAAAAACCCGAAATTTCAATCGTTATAACTGATTATCAAAGTGATCTGAACTAGAAACGGCTTCTAGTTACGGCACAACGAGTGCCGTAACTTAGCGTTGGCTGAAGCTGCGGCGTTTGGCTTTGGGGACTGTAGTCACTATCGACATCCGGCTGCAGTTCTATCGCAGATGGTCTTTTGTGAAATGTCAAACAGTTCTGCCCTCGAAGAGCAGTTTTGCACGTTCCCTTCCCGAAGCTGTATTGGAGCACAGCGAAGGATCTAAAGGTTTATGCTGTCCACTGAAGCCTACTTGCAACACAACTATTATTATAACGGGGATGTCTTCACTAAGTTTCCAGTGTTTTAGCAGACTTACTGCACAGAACCTGGTTTAATCATAACACGTAACTGATACACTTCAACCTCTCTGTAATAGTCTTTATTTTCTTTTCTGTGAGGGGGGGGGGGGGGGGGGTTCAGTGCATTCACTCATGCTGCCGCCTTCACTCTGTCGCTACCTCAAATGTTTGTATACTAGGAGGACATGCATACTTCGCGATTGCTCTGCGGTCTTCAAAGTAGAGCGGGTGTCCTCATGCTTGTGAATCTCGATGAACTGCTTCCCCGTTTACAACGCGGCATGCTGTCCCTCGTGCAGACACAATGCTGGGAGGCATTCCACCCCAGCAGCAGCCGCAGCCGCCCCACCAGGGCATGCCCATGGGTGCCCCCCTTCTGACCGCGGGGGCCATGCTGCCGGGGCAGCAGCAGATGGGCCCCATGGGGACGCTGGGGCCCCCACTGCCCATGGACGAGGGCTCCAACCAGCTGCCACCCCAACACGCCGCCATCGTGAGTGCCGCCCATACCCCGTCCGTCCTCGTACGACAATAGTGAACTCGGCATACAGTTGGCTCACGATAATTTAAACTCGGATATTTCTTACTTTTGGTTAATTAGAAAAAATTTCAAAACCTTGCTCGTCCCGCCCCGCTTTAGGGGTATTCGTAAACCGCTTAATTCGAAAACCTTTTTCTTGCAATTCATACTTTTTGGTCCCGCAGCCCTGTTGAGTGCGCTTTTTTCCGAGCACCGGTGCACCGCAGAGAGGCAACACCTGCGGAGCTTGCTGCCGCGGGTGCTGCTTCCCCACGACGCTCGGGTGCTCTGTAGAGAAGCACACACGAGCGATGAAAGCGGGCGCCGCGCAGCAGCCTTCACGACGCCATGACTCTACGTCGCAGTGTCCGTGCCAGTTGGTACGATAACTGCCGCGCGGCGCATGCTTTCATCATCTGTGTGTCCCCCGCTTCATAGCTCACGTTAGACAGCCTCTTGGCTCTATGAACAAACTTAATTTCGTTTTGAGCATGTAAACTTTGGAAAGTCCACAACGAACAACATTTTTGAGGGATAAATAAACTTGGGTCGTACACTTCACAACTGTTCTATGCGTGGCATACCTGCTTATGATCGGTAGGCCTGGGTAGAGTAAATCATTAGATATCTGTTTTCTATGCATAGCAATCCATATAACATACCAGAATTTTATTTCGCATCATATTTAGATGAATGTCTGATAATTAAAACAAAATTCGTGGCTTCTTGGAGTTTGAAAGAGGAGTCTACTGTAGTTGCAAAAATAATAATAATGTTCGACGGCACTCATTCGTGTTGCGCGCGTGCGCAGAACTACCAGGCTCTGTCGGCGGCCGTGGCGGCGGTGTCGAACCTGCAGCCGCGCGTTCCGAGTCCTGCGGCGCCTCCTCCGGAGGCGAGCATCTTCCTGACGGACCCGATGCAGATCCCGCTGCCACCGTCCCTGTCTCCGGACACCGGGGAGGTGACGCCGCAGAACCCAGACCCGCTGTCGTCCCCGCCGCCCTTCGAGGAGGAGGAGGCCATTGCCGTCGCACAGGTGAGCATCTCGTTCCTTCCTCCGGCTATCGCGGAGCGCAAATTCATTTGCTACTTTTGGGAGGGATGTGGTGACGTGACAAAGATGCCCAGCTCTGGTTGTCTCTGATTGAAGGAAGTTGGGTATACACCTCAAGGCAGCTTGCTTTGAGAGCTACCCACTATCCTTCGATCAGAGCCGATCGGAGCTCAGTGTTTTGACATCACCAGCGCCCCTGCAAAAGAAGCAGACAAACTTGCGCTCCGCATAGTTGGGTAGACCCTGTGAGGGACTAGAAACAGTGCAAACACCCGATTTCAGGGGGATGGTGCAGCAATTTCGGGTGTATTTTGGTGCTTGCACTTTGAACCTGCGCCGTGCAAGAGCATTGCGTCGGCGTTTGGCATGTATCATATTTATTACACATAGGTTGACCCTCTAGGCATTCCGTCGCCGACAAAAACGAAGCAGTCGTGACATCGAGGACGCCTCGGCTTGTTACAAGTTGTGGCCAGCTGTACCATTGTGCCATTCTGTGTGCCGATTTTACGAGACACCGCGGCAGCGGCGACAAGTGCGGCGCCGGCGTCTGCAGCATTAACTGTTCTAAAGCAAAAACTAATAAAAATAGCATCTTGCACGAGCTTTCTCAATGCTATATTTCGGTTATTTACTTTGATTCTTGTATACGGGAAAGGCAGCATTAACTATACAAAATCATTGGTCTACGCTCGGTCTGAGCCCCGAGACGATCTGCCAGAACCTAGCTATAAACAGCTTCGCTGTAGAACCTGCTTTTTAATCGTCCTTTTTTTCCCCGAGGATGTTTAAAATTGTTTTCGGACCTTCTGACGTTGCATCGGTCTTCCCCAGGGCGGATTCCCGGACGCGAGTTCGGCCGAAGCGAGGGGAGCGCCCACCCAGCGTGCCCCTCTGGAGTACGAGCAGATCCCCAGGGTCGCCCCTTCGCCCGTCCAGGAGCAGACGCAGCAAGTGGTCTACCCACCTGCCCAGGTAGGCACCGCCGAAACGAACTGGGGAGAGGTTGTGGTGGAACCTCGACGATACAAATTATTTGTATCATTCAAAAATCGTCCCGTTCAAGAAGGGGGGGGGGGGGGGGGCACCGGAAAGGTAACAAAATGTGCGCACATACTCTGTGAGAACAGGTGGTTCTGGATGAGAATCTTGCTTTGATCCCAAAGACGGTGCAATACCGCTGCCTTCGGGATCTGCCGATTATTTTTATCTCTTGAGATCCCTGGCCCAAGCCGTAGTTCTCTAGCCGTGGCCCCGTGGCAGTAACGATATCCCACGCTGCAGCAGCTGGCCGCGACTGCCACGTCTGTGCAGAGGTGCCATTCGTGGCATAATAGAATGTGATCCGAGCTTGTACAATTGAAAATCGAGGTGGTTTTCCTTGAAATACCTTCACAGCTGCCCGAGTGGTGGGAAGTGCTGCGATGTTGTATGCTTGGGCTTTTTTTAGGCACACATTCTGACTCGCCAATAGTTTTCAAGGTTATCTTTCAACCGTCCAGAAGAATGCAGCAAAAGAAGCCGTTGTGCGACGGGGCGAATTCGTCGCACGTTTCGAGAAATCGACACTTTGCCATTTCAAGTTTGACCTGAAGAACTTTGCCATTTCAAGTTCGACCTGAAGAAAGTTCCACGAGTATTATCGTGGCTTGAGCTGTACCGAGAGCTGCATAACTGACCTTTAAGATGCATTGTCCATCTCTCTCTTTTTCTTCAGCACACGCCGCCCACGTCCATGCCGTACGCACCTCCCGGCGCCATGGTTGCGGCTACGGCTGCGCCAGTTCCCGCGGGACTGTTCCAAGCCAATCCGCAGCCCATGGGCCCTTACGGCCCGGGCTACGTGGCGGCTGGACCCGGTCAGCCAATGGGAGCCGTTCAGGGCATGGCTCAGGCGCTGCCCCAGGGAATGCCCCAGGTCTACTACCTGCCACCCATTCCTGCTCATGCGATCCCAGCTGAACAGCCTGTGAGTTTCTGTCCTCTTTGCTAGGGAATTCTTGTTCCCTAGGCAGTGATCTGCCCTAGATTGTGATGTGCTCTAGGCAGTGATGTGCCCTAGGCAGTGATGCGCCCTAGGCAGTGATGCGCCCTAGGCAGTGATGCGTCCTAGGCAGTGATGCGCCCTAGGCGCATTTGTACCTAGCACGGATGATCGTGTTTATGGCGCATGAGTGCCCTAGTCAGCGATCTGCCTCGGGTGCGTCGGTGCGTAGGACAGATGATTACGCTTGCCTGGTACGTGCTTGTGCCCTAGCCTGAGCCGTGCCCAGGGTGCATCAGTGCCTAGGGCTTGTACTAATGTTGGTTTCCTGCTGATACAGTCCCCAATTGAGCAGCCTGTGAGTTTGTGCCTTTCATACACTTAGGGCATGTTAGGTCTCTGGCAGCATTGTAGGCGTTACTGAAGAAATGTAACGAAATGCGTTGCTAGTGACTAGCAAATGAAAGCAATGCTTTACCGATACTCAAAGTAAAAGAAATGTGTTGCCATTATCGATAAAAAGTAACACACATTACTTTTGTGTTACTTTTTTTAATTACGAATTAACACATTTTACTGTTTTGATGGTACATATGCCATATTTCAAGAAACATTATGTTTATGCAGAAACTGAACTTAATTATTTTATCTTATTATCTCTTAATTAAACTCATAAAACTTGAGAATTCACAAAGCTCGGCACGTAAAAACACGAAAAAAAAATTCAAGTGTAATGTTATTTAAGTTGTGGCAAGAAGTAATGTAACCATGTTACCTATTACTTGAAAAAGTAACACAAGTATGTCACCTTTTACTGTTGCAAAAAAGTAAAGAGCATGTTACTACGTTGGAAAGAGGTAACGCGCATTACCAGTAACACTGGCACAATGTTCTTCGTGCCGTCTAGGCATAAAATGTGCGCGTGAAGTTTCTTCGTGCGCTCTGTGTAGCATCACTGAAAGCAACACGTAACACGCTCTGCGTTACCACTGCCTTTGCCACGATGGTGCGGGGAAGGGACGAATGTCTGGCACCATAGTGGCCGTCATATTGGAATCCAATCCACCACTTGGGGATCCCTCAGGTGCCGGTGCAGACGAGGGAGCCAGCGCCGTCGGGCCGTCTGGCGAGTCCCCCTCCGCAGCAGGAGACAGCGCCACCCAGGAAGAGCTCGAGACTGCCGCCCCACTGGAAGACAGCCAAGGACGAGGAAGGGAACCTCTACTACTATCACGCCCTCACCCGGTGAGGACTGAGCTCTGCCATCGAGTCGGTCGTCCGGACGTCTACCGGCGGGGTAAAATGGGGATGGTTGGAATCGTTGGGGAATTTTCACGTCCTGGTACATTCAGGGCAAACTCTAATTGTCAGCCAGCGGGGAAAAATGGAGATACGCTCCAATTGCTAGGGAATGTTGGCGAGCCTCTAAAGATGCCGCTTCAGATGGGGTTGCTAGGCGACTAGAGTTGTACATTCCGAAAAGTCAGCTATGAGAAAGTTTAATGTACCGTATTTACTCACATAATGAACACCCTTTTTTTTTCCAAAAAATTGACCCATATGCGGGGTGAAATTTTTGCATTTACACACTTTGCGCTAATGTCATATGAGGTGCCAATATGACATGGCAGGGTACTGTGGCACATGCCCACTGACGGATGCGCACCCATGGCCGGTCGTGGGCGTGCCACAGTAATCATGCTCTATAAAAATCGGGACCTTTTTAGGGCTGTTTTGGCGTGCCCTTTGCTGAAGAAAAAGCACGCTACGAAGCTCACTCAGCACGGAGAGTGACGCGACTGTTCTTAGGCCTAACCACTTTCATGTTATCACTGTTCAAAAATGGAGCGCAGACTGGGGCATGTTTTGTTGACATGAATGCATCCGATAAACGAAGCGTGATATCCAGGGCTTGGCAATTCCTTGAACCCCAGCTTCGCTACGCATGTGCGCCGCTCGGTTTCACGGTTGTCACGCAATTGCAGCCATCACGAGAGCGACTTGGCTTGGCTTGTTGGCAAAAGAAAATTGGCGGGCTTGGTGTTGGCTAGTCGGCTAGCTAAGTTGGACACAGTTCAAGACTCGCGGAGCCGAAAAGTAGAAGTGCGTTCATTACGCCAGAAAAAAAAAACAAAGTCCAGATATCAATGATTGTTGATGGGGGTGCGTTCATTATGCGAGTAAATACAGCACTTATAGACCGTTCCATTAGGGTCATAGCAGAGAGGGTAAAAAGAGAAAAAAATGCCCTCACCCTCTCGCCCGCATGTCGTCTGCTCCGCCGAGTGAGCAGTACCTAGCATCCGGCTGGCATACAAACTCTGTTTAAAATCGCGTCATTTTGGGAATTTCAAGCGCAGATGCGCAGATTTTGGTACGCCAGTTATCGTGTATTACTATGGTAGATAAAAAAGACTAACAGAGTCCAATTGCGCTGTTATCTGCGTGCAAATAAAAAAAAAGATTGGGAAAACTGTGTCAGACTGGCCGGTCTCTCCGGCAAAAAGTGAATCCGGTGGCTGTACCTTTTTTACTATACAAAGTTTGTACTGGTGTAGGCCTTTAGCGACCATGAGTGGATGTCTGAAATAATAAATAAAAGATATGTCACTTGATCATTTACCGAAGTAGAACAACGGAGAGCTCTAGGCTGATTTTGGAGTAGCCATAACTATTCTAAGAACGCAAACCACTTCACAACGGCAGCCACGAGCGAGAGTTCCATGTTCCGTACAGCCCGCCGATACAGCCCAAAGATGGAGAATGGCAACCTCCCGGTTTGTCGTCTGCTAGCAGAGTCGGGCGTGTGCCCTCTTACTCGTTTTACCCCGCCGAACCCGCTGAATTTCCCGGATGTATGGAGAGGGCGCTGCTGTCGAACAAAATGGTGCCGCCCAGAGAGCGCTAAATGGAATGGTCTATTGTAGGGGCCGAGTTAAATGTGCGCTCACTCGTGTCTTGTCCCACAGGGAAACTCAGTGGGACCCCCCTGCCTGGGACGAGGAGGATCAGGACATGGATCTAGGGACGCCCACGTACGACGAACCAAAGGTAGGACAACAATCTATCGTCTGTTCCAGTACGTTGTTACGAAAAGAGGATGCTGCGGGCGGTAGTTTTGCTCGTCCATAACTCCTACCGTGCTACATTTCTGTCACATCCTCATCTTTCCTCGTGTTTGGTGCATGCTGCGAGGGTGTGCGTGTTTGCCTTTGTTATATTTGCTTCTTTAGTCTTTTTTTTGTGTGTATTTGTGTTGGTTTTGTTTTTGGTTGACCTAACCTCCCCCTTACGTTGCGTGTCTGCTTCTCTTCTCAGGTGAACAGTACTGTGGGCAGCATGAGCATGAAAGTAAAGAAAACGACGGTCAGTATAAACTGTGCCTTTTTGCAGCTGTACGCTTTGTGCGCTTTTCTTGGACCTCTCCCCCTTCCCAGTTTTCTCTCTTGCATACATGCAACTTCTTTTTTTGCTTTTCATCTTATTTTATCTTAGCAAGATGAGTAAACAATTTTTTTTATTGTGAACTTTGTTTACGCACGCTGGTTCGAGCAAACAGTGCTTCTATGGTGCTCGTGTTTCTTTTGTTTTTTGTTTTTACATAACAAAAGAAACAAAGAAAGATAGGCCAGTCTTGCAAGAGGTCGTATGCAAAGGGGCCATGTTCTGCGCAAGTAACGAAACAGGCAAACAAATATTTATGGCAAATTGCTAGGCAATTGCGTTGCGTAGGTCCTAGCGTCACAAACGTTTAGCAGTACTTAGAGTTGGCAGATGCCTACATCCCTGGCACACTTCACCACACCTCGCTTACCCCTCTGGTCATTCCACCTCCCCGTCAACAAATCAGCGTCGAGCGGCTCGCTCCTCCTCTCCCACCTATTGACCAATTGGCGTCGAGCCTCGCAGCCACACTTTTATCTGGGCTTCTCGAAATGCCGAACTCCTAGCCAAAGGATGTTTCGCATTAAAAGATGCTGCAGCCAATCACGGGTAAGAGAGATCAGTCACCCAGCGGGCAGCTTCCCTCTTACAATACCCTCGAGAAGATTTAGACAGAAGTATAGGAGTGTTTAGAGCATGGCATTGCATGTGCAAGGCCTCCAAGCGTAGCGTCCTTGTCAAAGGTTAACATGTCCTGCATGGTGCCGGCATTAGTGTGCAAAGTGTCGTGCATGGTATTGGTAGTTTTTGCACAAGAGATTAACCTAATAAGTAGGATTTTGCATTTTCGTAGCTTATTTTTCGTCAAATTCCGACTGTGTTTTTCGGAGTTTACTTTTTGCCGTAAATTCAGAGCTCATCGCAGTTTATTTTTGTTTGATTTCTGATTCATCGAAATTTAGCGTAATTTTTCAATGTTTTATTATGGAAAAAAAAAAATCTGGGTGTAAATGTGTGTTAGATAAAAAAGGAATGTGCTTGTATCAATGAATATTTCTTCAGCTGGATCTGGCATTGGTGGCATTGCAAGTGGCACTACTCATTTGTTCCACGCCAAAAGTGGCAAACAAATGTTGCTTCGATAAAGCTCAACACCTTTCACTGTTACAAAAAGAGAACTCCCCCGTCATCTAAGAAGCACAGATAGTATGGCCCAAACTGGAAACTGGAACAGTTGCTTTTAATCATGATGTTTAAACCCTGCGGTGGTTTTAGAGTGCATGGCCGACGCTTTGAAAGTATGTGTTTTGGGGGGCTCGCTGCGTCTTCTTTTAAAAGCAGAACGGAGGCTTTTCGACGAGGTCCGAAATTGAGTGTTTGAAGTGTTGTCGTGGTATCGCAGAGCAAGAAGAAGACTCTGACCGCGGCCGCCGACACCTCGGAGGTGGCCAAAAAGATCAAGGAGCTGTTCCGATCCAAGATCTCCTCCCACATCGTGCACTGCCTCAATCCGTTCCGCAAGCCGGACTGCAAGCTGGGCCGAATCCAGAGTACGGAAGACTTCAAGCACCTCGCCCGAAAGGTGCGTTTGGAGTCTGCGTCGCGCTTACAAGGCCCCAGGGCATCTATGACACATTCTCAACTTGTATTTGAGTATGACAGTTGAGCTGACTGCCAGTTTGAACAGTTCGACCGAACTGGGAGAACTGTTTCGTGTCTGACAGAGAAAAAAGCGTTCCTCCTGGTTCCAGCTTTTTTCTAAAAGAAAGGGTCGTAAACGTTGAACGGCGCTTCAGAAAGACTGAGATATGACTGGCAGGTGATTCACAATTTAGGATCGTGTTAAGAGAATGTTTATTTGGCTGCAATGTTTCCTAGATCAAACGATTGGTCGGAAAGAATGGTTTATAAATCCTACGCAGAGTTTCTGATTTATCCGTTTAATAATAGGATGTAAGTACTAGAATATTTTGCAATCTTCTAATTGCGTCTCGTGCTTTAAAAAAAAAGTGGGTTTTTAGTTTTCGTTGTTTGCCTCGCTTTTTCAGCTGACGCACTTTGTGATGGCCAAAGAGTTGAAGCACTGCAAGAACGTGGAAGACCTCGAGTGCAACGACAATGTCAAGCACAAGGCCAAGGAGTTTGTGCACAAGTACATGGCCAAGTACGGCCCGTTGTTCTACAAGAAGGACAAGGCGGTCTCGCCCAAGGACGAGTGACAACGCACGTCGCCACTGAACGCCGCCATTTCAGCGGCACCAGACATTCATTGTGCAGGACAATGCGCACCCACATGTCGACCAGACCGCTGCAACGCAGGGGCGCACTCTTCGATCCGCGCGACCTAGCCACGCCGTCAACACACAACGGATGCATGCGGGCGCACGCCAGCCACGGGTCCCAACTGAGCTGTGGGTGAACTGAACACGGACGGATAGATGCCAGCCGAGTACGGTGGCTGTGGAGGGAGTTTTCCCGCGACCATGCATCCGTCGCAAGCGGATACGTCCCGACCATGTTGCTACGCGAGCCATTCGTGTGGGCACGCATCGGCTACGGATGGATAGACACCAACTGCATTCGGTGGCTTTGAAGCGAGCAGTTCTGCGACCACATATCTGTCGTGTACAGATACGTCGACGGATACCTGCTACGTGCGACGGCCTCGGAAAGAGAGGTCTGGCGACCGTGTGTTTGTCGCGGGCGGAAACGTTGGGAGCCAGTCGCATAGCCACACGTCGGTTACGAACGGATACGGCTACGTTTTGGCCACAGGAGCGTTTGGAACAAGGTTACCCCCGCTCCGTCGGTGGGGCTGTGACTGCGGTTCGCTTCAGACCAGTTATTCTCGGCATCATATTCACAACGTTCGTGTTGATTCTTACTGCCGCGCATTCATTTCAAAGTGTACGGGAATTATTTTTTCGTCTGTCCCCTCGTCAGTTTTACGCGCACCGAAAAAGCCGCCACCCCAGCTTTCGTGGTTCGTTTTCTCGACGTCTACGGGTCGACTCGTCGTTGTCGTGAGCAAGGGTTGCAAGTCGACGCGATATGTGGCGGCATTCTTCGTGGAACGACGTTGGTCGTTCGTGTCGACGAACCGATGACGCCAGCGTGGTTCTCTCTCATTCTGTAATTATAGTTCATCAGACTCGCGACGCGCATTGCACGCAGCTATCGCAGGAAGCGTGCCGCTGCGTCCGACATTTGTACAGACATATTCTCGGTTGTACCGTCGCACCCAACGCTGCGATTAGGCTTTTTTTTTTCTTTTCCTCTGTCTTCCTTCTTTTTTACGGTCTGCGTTTAGTAATTAATGTAAATACACCTGTGCATGTCAAGATCATGAAACATTTCTTTTTGTTAATAATGCACGGGGAAGGATAACTCTGAGGACGAAGGTGCAAACTCGAGCCATTTGGAATCGCGTCGCCGACAAACGAAGCTTTCGACAGGGGGACGCTTTTCTTTCTATGAAAGCATCGTCAAATCATTGTGTTGTCTTCGGTGTTTTCCTTGTTTAGTGTTGTCTGTAGTCGCCGTAACGGTGACTGGTGGGGGTTGTCGCCGACGGTGCGTGGGTGGCCGCGTGCCAGCCCCCGATGGTTGTAAATAGTGGACCCGACACGGTCGGATGAATTGTAAAGTCGGCATTACCCTTAGGGGCTCACCAGTGAGTCTGTAATAAATTTTCAATTTATTTCATACTGCCGTCAACTCTTTCTTGGGGTGTGGGGAGGAGGAACCGTGCGGCTGGATTCTTGGTGACTTGTGGTTGCCAAGAACAAGAGCAGGGAATTTTTTGCACTAAATTTAGTGGAAAATTTAGCGAATATTTCCCACTAAATGGGAGAGGAGCAAGAAAGGAGGGGACGGATGAGGAGCAGGTGCAAACCCTCCTCTCTGTTCCTTCCCCTCATCCTCTTCAAGAGCTGCGCTTTAGTTCGGCGTTACAGGGGATTGTAAACGTCTTTCATTTATCTAATTGTTTGCAAGCAAGATGGCGAGACATGGTTTTGGCAGATTGCTGTTTGGTATGTTATTCATTTGTTAAAAATAAAATGGCACCAACAACTGGTGTTGGCAAGTACTTTTAGTACATTGTACTCAAAGTTCTATTTTAAGTAGGTCTAGAGAACTTATAGTTCGTAGCATTCTCCATTTGGTCTTGTTAAATTTGTATCGCAAAATGATGCTCCTAAGAAATACTTGGTGCGGATATTCTACTCTCGCCAGAAGCTCGAGCCGACGACGCATCGCTCCATGTGTAAAGGGGGGCGGCTTTCCCGCAGCATTTAGAACTTGCTACTTTTTGCTAGGTCAGCGCAAGCGAGGAAGCTAAAAGTATTCCCCCCAGGAGGAATGCTTGCGGAAGCTATGGGGCTGACATCATGCTCTCTCTCCCCTAGTGTTCTTAACCGCCTTGAATGCAGGCCAGGGCAAGCGATGCCAAATTCAGATGTTAGAGGGATTTCTGAAAAATTGCTGTAACCCTTCATCCAGTATTTGCCGCCTTTTCCGAAAACAACTGAGCAATGCATACAAGTCAAGAAAAAACTCGCTATAGGGGAAGAAAAGGGCATTGTGAAGGACTGTTGAGAAGTACTTTTACTTTTAAAGTGCACTGTATTTATAATACTTTACTTCAATTACCCTGTGTCCGTTGTACTCTCAATCGCTCAAGGGCACGTTACTGCTAAAATGTACCGGCAGTTAGTCACCTGGGGGAAAAAAGTAACCCTGCTACAGTTACATTACAAAATATAAGGATTAACTTGTTGCAGTTACTTTGCTGTTACTTTGTAAAAAAATATTAGCGTTCAAAAGGAACCTTCTAGGCAGTGAATCCGATTTTTTTTAGAAACTGTTTTTTCCCAGTCATCAATTTACATGTTTGGTTCTTTCTATTTCAACTTTTACCATGAATAGCTTCCTGGAGAAGATTATTATTGAAGACATAACTGGAATAAATCCGTTATAAAGCATTTATAGTTTCTTCTTTGGCAAAATTACAGGCGGCTTCAGTTTCTCAAAATGTTGAACTAGCAGATACCTACCGATAATCCATGAGGAACTTCGAATAAGTATGGCCTCCATAAGGTACACACAAATGTAGCAGCACGCGTCTAGATCTCTGGTATATCCAATCGCGGTGCGAGTTCATGATCGGTCAATTCTAATTTCAGATTTCTTTGGTGATGCGGAATGGGACGGAAGCAATAAAAATCGTGCCAATGTTGAGTCGATATTAATATAAGTCTTACCTTGCAATCAGCTTTGCAGATGTTTTCTTATGTTGTTGCAATCTATTTGTCTGTCGAATCGTTTTCTACTGCGTTCACACAATCTTTCATGATGCACGAAGCTTCTCCAGAAAACTTGGCGAGCAATGTTGCGGCGACATCCCTCTGTCGAACCCGCTGAACATTACAGCGGTGCAAAAGAAGGTCTAATCAAGGTACAAACGACCACTGCGTGTAGAATTCCAAACAGCTGTTGCAATCTTTTCTCCGCCGCTTGCTAACCAGATCGGACATGTTTGTGCTCCACCTTCTCGCCACCCGAAGTAGAAGAGACCACCTGAAAAGCCTGCAACATGAATATATTTATAAATCAACTGATGCCAAGTTCCCCTGGTCCTGGCCAAGGGCAGCCTTTCAATTTCAAGAAAACGCACAAAGAAGCAGACCAACACAGACGTTTAGAGCGAATACAACTCTCTCAAGTGACCGGACCTGAGAAGCAGAGCAATGCGGGATAACAAATGGGTGACTGGAGGCAAGGCCAATAATTGGGTTGCAAAAAAGGGGAAGGGAGAGCGATTGGGTCTAAAGTCGAGACTGCAATAGTGCATCTGGGAGTTTGACGATTTAAATTAGAGGGGAAGGAAACGTATGCTTGGCGGAAAAAGACAAGGTTCGGAAAATCGGTTGTGCAGTAAGCCTGCGGGAGTTTGGGGCGACAATCGCCAAAAACTGCCCTCCGCAAAAAGCGCACGTTCCGTCTCCAGATAAACAAAAGAGAAACGCCTTAGAGATGCCGCAGTTTGTTACGTCTGCATGCGCTGTGGGCGATGTACCATACACGGCGGGTAGGGACACAAACGTCCCCATCCTCCCAGTTGGCGAGTCCAGCTAGGCTGAGCAGGGTCAAATAATATTTTTTATTATATTTTTGCCTTTTGTGCTTAAGACAGTTTTTGCTGTGCCCTTCCCGTATCAGGACTTGGGACTCTCACGAGTTGCGAGATGATTTGGTGGTAGTGTTTGCAATATTTTTGCACATAAATCTGCGAAGTAATTGTTACAACTTTGCTCTTTACATTTACTTTCGAAAAATGGTAACCTTCTTACAGTTACAAGTTATTTGCACTAAGCAGTAACGAGTTACCAGTTGCCCGCAGTGGACGCCAGGAGCCATCCAAGCCAATCCAGCGTGGAGAGAGTGTCGCGTGACCTTGAGCACCCTGCGTCGTTCTGCTCAGCCGGCAGGTCACACGATTTCCTCCCGGCGCTGGATCGGCTGGAATAGCTCGTGGACTCCACTGCACTCAGACTGAAGGTGGAACAGAGTATAGTAACTATGGCAAGACTGCTCACTACTTTACTTAAAGCACATCTCATTTGTAACTTTGAGTACCTTTCGGATGTACTTAACCCAACACTGCCAACAGGTTGAGCATATAGAAATAATGAAGCTCATTCTTCTAAGAATGCCGGTGCAACCCTTCGAAAACTTTGCGAGACAAATTTCGATTCTTCTGGCCATTAGCCTTTCCATCTAGCATACAGTGCAAATAAATCATGAGAATGCAGTGTTTTGTCCTCATAACCGATCGTGGCATTTTGTCACGACCGGTTACGAGATAACTATGGATAAATGTACTTCATTTAACACACCCACGAATCGTAGTTGTACTCTATTCCAGAGTACCAAAAAGGAATTGCTTGATACTTTGAAATTTGTAGTTCCCTCGGAAATAGAAGGTTGGTGCGCATCTATTGGGTAGTTGTGGAACACCTCTGATCTCTTGATAGATTCCCAATTTTTTTGTGCATTATTCTTTTGCTATTCGACTCAATATAATTCTGATCATTTCTTACAGAATGTAGATTTGATCTTGCAAACACTGCAGCACGTTCGGATCGGAAGGTGCTGCATACTATCCGACAGATGACGTTGGCGTGCCAGTGCGACATCTTGTCAACGGTTACAAGTGGGCACTAGAGCCACTGTATAAAGTGTAGTTTCATATAGTGACACTAGTGGGCACAAAGTACTTCATCACACTCAAGGATGTTGCAAAAAAAAAATAACAGCATGTGGAAGTGTAGCCATGCAGGTGAACGACAGTTTTTTTGCTGGTGCAGCATGCGAAAACGAAAAACCAAATAAGAGACGTTTTACTCCTCTCGATGCATACGAGCACAACCCTCGATGCATACAAGCACAGAGGTAACGCAGTTGGCACTGCAATGTGTGCGTAAGCAGAAAAAGGCGGGATCATATGCAGTGTCCTTGAGCAACAGGCCTTGATTGTGGACACACTTTCCATCTGTGTCACACTGCTGGTGCTCTAAAACATGCTTTTAGTGGATTGTCATGGGCTCGAGCATCTTTGTGGACGGCGATTTGTTATCCAAGACCTCTAGAATCCTATGGTACAGCTCTACTCCGTTCATCACCGACCTGACAAGGTAGTGGACGCTACATGCTTGCCGGACCAGTCGACGGTCTGTTTTACACAACGTGGTCACGCACTCAGCGCACACAGTCTGGCAATAAGAGCCAGGTGATTAATGCGGAGCACGAGTTTGTCTGCTTCTTTTGCAGGGGTTGTGGTGAAGTGAGAACGCCAAACTTCGATTGTATCTGAATGAAGGATAGTGGGTAGACCTCGGGGCAGCTTGCTTTGAGGTCTACCCACTATCCTTTCAATCAAAGCCAATCGGAGCTCGGCATCATTCTGACGTCACTGCAACTCCTGCGCAAGAAGCAGACTACCTGCTCTCCGCATTGGTTTGCCAAGCACGTAGCTTCCACTGCCTCGTTGGCATATTGTTGCGAATGGAAAAAGATTGACGACTGCCAGAAACGAGAAAAAACGAGCACTGAGAAAGCAGCGGCGAGCGTGGAGGTGTCGGCGCGACTCGGCAAGGCCACGCTAGGTTCCTTACCTACAACGCTCCATACATCGAACATTCCACCCAGAATATTTGAGCATCGAACACTCGTGAGACTGACTCGGTAAGATCATGTTGGCCTCTTTATCTATTGCACTCAAGGTGGGAGTTAACGGAAACCTTTTAGAAGTATGAAGAAGTGTTCCTTCTCGGCCATGCATTTGGTAGTGCATATCAGCTTAGCGGGGAACTGAGCATAGACTTCAGTTTCATATCAGTTACGAGTATGTTCTCATCACAGGGTGGAGAATAAAATCTAAGATGATTATCAGACCAGTTTTGGTATGATCTGAATAAAAAATATCCTAAAAAAATCCAAAAAATGTTTATTTACCCTTTGTCTATCATATGATGCTTTGTATCTGCATTTGTTTTGTATTTTAATCAATTGTTGCATAAGGACGATTTATATCGGGCCAAACGCAAGCGAAAAGCGGTACTCTTCTGAGCAAATCGGGGCTTTGTGCTTTCTTTCTAGTTTCTACCATGCACTTAATTCGGTTAAATAATGTCCTATTGCAAGCAAATTCGAATGCAAAATACAGCTGTTTTCTAGCCAGAGTGCCAAGCTCTTTGTTTTAGTATAGTTGGGTTAAATAAAAAGTTGCCCATTATACTGTACATTAGGGTACACACTAACTTTTTCTTTGGCATTGTTTTCGGGGAGCGAACGGATTGATCAATCAATCTACCGTGATTAGAATAAATCTAGCGATACAGAACCTTATTTTCTAGCTGCAGCGATTTAAATCAAATAAATCTGATTTATTAACTTTTTTCAACAAAATAAACTTGTTTTTACCGTGTTGCCACAAGAAGAAACTATGCCCTAATCAGGTTCGTTGTCTCGGCATGACAAGTACGGTGAAGCAATTTTATTTATCTGCCCATTTGCTCGCAACAGTGAACAGTTTTGACTTGGCACTCTTTTATGACCGCCACTTTGTTCGGCGCAAGAAGACTGGGCAGAGTTATTTAGGCGAAAGCCTTACTTGTCCCATTGAGCGAGCGAAAAAGTGGCGTATATGGCCATATTCGCGACTCCAGCAAAACGGAGGCCACCAAGCGGGAAAACCGGGAACCAGCCTGACGAGGTCGCTCCACGCCCCTCCGCGTCTCTGGTGGCTTTCGCGGCGGACACGTGTTGTCTGCGCGGTGAAGAGCAATGTAATTTGACGAAGGTCCGAAAATTTCTTAAGTTTGCCTGAGTGTTCATTTGTGTGGTTAAGCCTCAGTAGATTGTTTCCTTCCATCACGTGTTTGAAAGCCCGTTTACTCCACAACACACAGTCGCGTGCTTTCGATTTCTTGGATGGGGAGAAATCACGGAAAAATGTTTTTACTTCTTTTCTGTCTTGAATCACATGACGACTGCTTGGTAACTGATAAGTGGTTTCTTTGTAAGGATATAGAAAAGTGGACTGAGGACGAGAGACGAGGTGTTTCACTGGAGGCAACACCAATTTTGCAGTAAAGTGAATGGGAAGATTTGATAGCTGCTTTTCTTGAGTTCGGTTGTGTTCAACTAGCTTCAAGATTGAACCACCCACGCCGCTCGGTGCGTTGGATATTCATCGTGGCTGCCTTTCGCTGAAAAAGCTTTTGAACCACACTGAAGGAGCTGGGCTGATTTTGCAATTACTTGATTCAGGAAAACCTGCTCGCTGCAAATGATGAATGAGGGAAATTATCTGTTTTCAAAAGGTGAGGGACGCGTCTCGCAAAGTTAGAAGCTGTCACGGCATTATGATCTATCGCACCTCCAATATTTATATTACACCCCCGTCGAAGCCAGCAGCAATATACTTCTACATTGCTCAGGTTGACCGGCCACAAAAAATACTTATTTTCTCCGCTTAGGATTCGAAGCGAAGTTCAATGCAGAGAGGTTCTCCAAGAATCTCCAATGAAGACTCTATTCAGTTTGTCTCCGTGCTGCGGCTAGAACCATTTGGATAAGTTTAATTAGTATCTCTCTGTCTGTCAAATATACTTTTATTCAGCAGTTCACCTAATAGCTAGTCAACTAAGCTCCTATTTCAAACCGAAGAATATACTAATATTGTGTGGGACATAGTACGTAATATAATACATAACCCGCTCGTCAAAAAGACTTTTTGATTTCTACTAAAACCTGAATTGAAATACCAGTACCAGCTGCTTAGTGGGGCGCCGGCGGGTTAACATGGTCCTTGGCTCAAGAAGCGCTTGCTTAATTTTCGTAATTTTCCTGCAGCCTGTGTTGTTGACTGAGCAGACAACTGGAGCTGTCTCTTAAACGCGAATATGCACAAAAGCTCGATTTTGCGGACAGATGAGTTAGCTGAAGATTACTCTCGGTGGAACAATCCTGCAGTCACCGCCGCTTTCCTTAGATGATCAAAACTGATTAATATATTACCGTCTCTCCGGAGCCCATAGTTTTGGTTTTGAACGAAATCTCCGAAACGAAAGTTTGACATGAAAAGAACAAAAAACACCGGGAAAACAAAACTATGCTTTGCAAGGTTATGTACATCGGCTACACTTAACCGTCTCAGTTCAAATACCTATAAAATTGGGCATTAAACAAAGAAAATCTGTTAAATTGAATGCGCCACCTGTACAGGCGGCCCGGCCGAGCCAATGTGACCTGGACTCAGCCGCCATGTTTGTTTGGTGGTGGCGCCCCTATAGGTCGCTGGAGACGCGAATACACCGCGATAGTACAAAACAGTCGTTCTAGGCCTCTAGGACAACCTTACTCGTCCCATTACGCGAAATAGCAGCGTCGTTCTATGTCATCAATGACAAAATATGTCATCAAGCAAGTGCTGCGCACGCTGAAGTGCGGGAGCGTGATATCACCGCTGAGGCAGTGTGCAAAAGGTGCGCTTCGTACTTCGTCTGTACTAGTGTGGTTCGTGCAAAGGACTGCAACGTCTATATTTACAGCCTTGAAATCAGGAGCAGCGTCTACATCTACGGCTACTTCCACAAGCAGCAAACGTGGCAGGCTATGCAAATACGCCACTGCCCCAGGTGTCCTCCTCTTGACGTCATTCTCAATGTTGTTTTAGACGTCATTCTTGTTGTTGTCAATCTCTAGGATGTCGTCCTAAACTTTAATGTGTAGAAACATTAGTCGGAAACATTTCTTTCGCGGGATTATGCTTCCGTCTTCCTATACGTAAGCAGTCTTGCGTGCCCTCCCGTTTCCAGACCAGAGTGCAACAGCTAAAATTTATCATTGGCATTTAGTCGCCCACAAAACGAGAACGGAGGGGCACATCTTTCCAAACGCCTGCAGAGCATGCATTGCAAATTCAGTTAGTGTTGTAAATCGTCAACTATTGATACGCAGCAGAATACTGCTGGTGGAGATAAGGAACAGCCAGTTTCTCCTAAGTTTGAAAGCTGTCGTAAAAAAACGAGCAAACACCCTGACAGAACTTGGGAGACAGTAACGAGGAAATCAGGATGGGCTCTCTTGGAGACCAGTAAAGCCACAGGGGCACACGGTAGGTTAGTCCCTCGTTTGATCCGACGAAATGATACGGGCGCAACCTGCTTTGAGCCGGCATCTCGCAGCGAGCTTCACTACTTTGCACCGGCAGAAAGCTTCGTCGCCTTGCACCACCTTCTCAGAGAAGCAGCACGGTGGGCTAAAAAATTTGTTGCGTTGGGCATTAGGCACTTTACATGTCCTTGCCTATATTTAAAATTAAAAAAAAAGGAAGGGGGTCACCTATTACCATACCTGCCAATCTGTGGACTTTCAAATTCGCAAAACTCCCGCGGCCGCGGCGGGGGATATGGGGGGTTACGCGAAGCGATGTGCAGCTTAATGTCAGCCGGGCCAAAGTGAGATACACTCTGTAGCACGTGCACGTGCTACAGAATCCAAACTTCTCTCGCTTTTTGGGCGGCATGAAGCACGGAAATTTCGACGTGTAGGACTTCAGGAACACCTGAAAGTACCTCTTTCGAGGTTTGGTGTTCGGCATTCCGCCGCGAAGCCACAGTGACCTGGAGGATGCTGCAGTTACATGTGCAACAAGCAGACACCGTACCTCTTGCCTCGAAACGAGGCCCAACGTCTGCACACGCCGAACCAATGTGCACCCATGCACCGCCGAACACACTAACAAAGGCTTTGAGCTTTGGATTGGTTTTCAATTCGTGGCCACGGGATAGACGGATAGTAAAAACCACGACGCTGCTGTGGACGGTACCCATTGTCCTCTTGTGGCAGTGCAAGATACCACCAACAACAGAGTTACAAAAACAAAAAAATTTATATATTTTTTGTAAGATTTGAAGCAAGATTCGTAAAATTAGTCCCAATTCGTATATTTTACGAAAAATTCGGAAGAGTTGGCTGGCAGGTATGCCTATTACGATATAATGAATGCTCAGTATTCTACAGCACATTAGGGGACTAATTTGTAGTTACAGAGGGTAGGTACAGCAGTTTGAACTCGAGCACCAAATAAAGACAGCCATTTGAGTGCGTATATAGTGAGGATACTAATGTGATCACTTTTCACAAAAACATGATAGAAATTTCTATGAATCTTACGAAGAGGAGAATAAATGCGCAGGAGACTGGCGAGGCACCTTCCAATCTTTTATTCCATCGCCTATTTGACGGCAACACGAGGAGCGTTGGGTCCACGAGCCAGGTCCTGTAGAAAAAGATTCAATGAAAAGAATGTCACGGATTGGTACATAACTGGCAGCAAATTCACGCTGGTCCAGCATACTTTTTTTTTTTTGTTTTTTTTTTGCCAGCACTTTTAGAAATTCTTAGTGGGAAACTGATGCGATGAAACTGAGCAGAAACACTTGGACGTCCACAAACAAAAAGGAAATCTGAGCAGTCAGAAAGTCTTCAGGAACAATGTCTCCTTGACATGCGTTAGCGCACCAGTCGCCGACAGGACAAGAACGACGAGGCGTCTCCTGTAGGCGCCCAGCCTCCATAGTGCACCTGTTGCCTTCTACTGTGCTTCGAGTGCACATGCAAACTTGAGGCCCACGAGACGCCAAAGCATCACTGAAGCTCCCCGCCGTTCTCACCCGACGGCAGTTCCTGTCGGTGTCTGAGGGCACCCTCTACCAACTAGAGAGAGAAGTTGCACTCACAGCAGTGGCCCTTGGGAACCTCGGCGGGGGAGCACGGTCCTTACGAGCCTCCTTGGACCTGTTGCGCACTATCTTGGAGTGGATGGCGCAGGAGACGCAGTAGTGGAGCTTGGCGTAGAGCTTGGGCAGCGGGTACGCTGTGCCAGGGAACAGACAGATGCTTCTTTAGACACGTTGGCAACCATGGTGCCAACTGGGGTGCGCACGCTTGTAGCCGCAATACCCACCGACGGCTAGAACCCCAGCGCACATTGTTCGCAGCTTACCATTGCCAGCTTCGCACCTTTCGCAAATCTACATTTTACGGTGTGGTCCATGCAACTTACACAAGACATCAACCTTTAGAAGGTGTTTTGGTCTGCCATCCCCCCACACTACATTTTACCTTACGATAGACTGCAGCAGACACCATGAACCATTGCAGAGGATCCAATGCCGTGAAAAGTGTCACAACCTTCGTAAGGGGCACCGAGTGCATGGGGCACGCGGTCATGTGACATAATCCCAGCAATGGATTGAAAGGCTCGTAGCATCCACTACTGTACGTCGTAAGGACAAAAGTAAGCACACTTAACGGTGCACAGCATTTGAAACAAGAAGCTCCTGCAAGACTCAAAATGGTGAAAGACAATGTTAATGTCGGGTGGTACTACCAGCTCGACTAACTGTGCCCGGGACGAGCATGGCATTGACGAGGGGCACGTGGAGTCGTTTAACACAGAGCGAGTGGATACTTTGTTTGCCCCCAAGCTGATGAACCAATCTATGAATGGGTATGGTGGGAGCGTGATCACGCGGCAAAAGCGACGATGGCTGGTCTATTGACCACCTAGTTTCCACTGCACCATCAGCTTAGAGGTGAATGGAGTACAGATCTGTACCGACTTACTCTCGTAGACGCTAGCCACTGTGATGTCCCTCACGGCGGCAGCCTCCACGATGTTGCGGATGACGAACTTCTTAATGGACTTGTCCTTGGGCACGCAACGAGCGCAGTTGGTGCACCGCACGGGCTTGACGTGACCGCGACCGTGCTTGGAGCGACCGTTGTTTCGCCTTTTCGCCGTCTGAAAAGGAACCAACGCCACCCCACTTTAATATCACTAGTCCGTGAGTATTTGGCTTGAACGCTCGTGTCGTGCTACACGCAGTTAGTACATTTATTGCGCTTCGGGACAGCCGCGACGCCGCAGAAAGCAAGTGACCCATGCTGAGGAAGTCCATAGCACCGCGTGGTACGAGGGTGAAGATGTGGCGATCATAGACAAATGAGTAAATAGTGGCGACGAAGGACGAAAGGTTCCAAATACTGCACCGATGCCCAAGCTGAGAAGGCTGATCACCAAAGACGCTAGCTTCAAGGACGATGGACTTCCTGAACAGATATCTGAGTAAATTGATTACATTACTAAACAATAATGACGTTTTAAAGGAAGTCTCGCATTAGTGAGGAATCTTAGTCTTCCCCGACGGACTTTCTTACGAGACAACGAAAATGACACCTTGCGACCCGAGCAGAACTTGCCGGTAGAACGAACCATGCAAACTTCATTTCAAAGTGCACTTTAACGCGCTCGTTAGATTATAAAGTTTGGTTCAGATCAAAGCGGCGCTTATCTGGAAGGTCAAAAGTGCATTTGTACGCAAGAAAGCTCGACAGCGGCACCGTCAACAGTGCCAACCGGGCAACACATGGCGTGCGACACTAGGCCTAACCCGGCATTTCCGTCAATCTTTGCTTAATTTTACAGTAATATGCGCTAATTAGGCTTCCTTCGAAGACACTGTCGATCGTTCTTCCTATATCAATGTCGTTGTTAAATTTGGTTAGTTAAATATGCGGTAGAAATGTCTAAGGAACAAGAGATCGAGATGTGCTTACCATCGTGACCGAAGTGAGGAGCTAAAAAGGCCGCGAACTGACTACACCGGAAAGTAGTGCGACGTTGTCGCGAGCTCACCCGATAAGTTTACACAAGATAACCAATAATATGGAAATAGCTGAGTCTGACAGTTTTATTTTAATTATATTCTCATGTAATTGACGCTAACATTATTGCGCCAATTCTTTCAAAAATAAAATGTAGTACTCTTTTTGGGCGCGCATCAGCGCATGAATACCATGACTCTTTGACTTGTTCAATTCTTACACCGCTATAACGGCTAAAAGCGAGACTGCAGCTCTTCTCGGACAACAATTGCCTGACGTCACAGATGTTGTTAGCCTTGAATAAGATAAGAGTCACTCTAGAGTTACTAATTTGACTCCTCGTTGTTCTGGTTGTACGTTTTAATGATACATCACTATCATACTTTACAATCAAAATTTAAATTGTTTAAATTTATGATTTTCACATTATACTTTGAAAACTTTAATCAAGTCTGTTTTAGGACCTGTCCTGAGATAGCGTTTCTTTTATAATCGGTATTGTTTATTTAGTTTAGAAGTCACCTTAATAATGTTATAAAACCCCAATGGTTATATTTTAGATATTATAGGCTCATGGAGTAATTTGTTTTGAAAGAATACGACTTTTGAGCTTACCTTTTAATCAACGAATGACACGCAAGCTCGCCATTCTGCCCGAACCTGCGACGCGCCGCCTTCCCCGCGCGCCGTCTGTCGCCGCTCCAAACAAACACAACAACACGACCGCCGCAGAAGTTGTCGCGGGTGGCTCGTGAACGGAGTGGCGGCGTTTTTCAACGCGCGTTGTTTGTGTGTCGTCGACGGGTGCGCGAAGTTTGATCGAAGCCCAGCGCGTCTTCGACGATGATGGCGTGACAGTTTCGACGATCTCGAACCCATCCGGATTCGTCCGTGCCCTCTGCGATGGATTTACTCCTTCGGACTGTCCTGGCCGCGGTGTTCTTCGTCAGCGGCAGTACGGTCATCCAAAGCGTCAACGGCGTCTTGGAAGAAAAAGGCAAGTCCGCCGTGCCTCGGGCCGTCACGGTTCGCTGATTCTGGCTGCTTCATGTCACGCTACGCTGGTCCTCTTAAATGAACCCTAGAGGGTAGCGTCTCTTCTTTTCGGAAGCCCTTTTTTCGTCGTGCGGGGGACGAAGTTCGTTTCCGACCCTTTAAAATCTCGACCCTGCCGAAGATCTTGCAGCGCGCGAGCTTGCGGCTTGATCGCGCGATGACGGTTGTGTTCGTTCCCGACATCCTGGTTCTGGCAGGTTATGACGGTTACCTCTTTGGTTTTGAAAGTAATATATGTTCGTGTTAGTAAAATAACTATGAAAAAGGCAAACTTGTGAGTTGAACCAGGAGTCACTTCAGTTTAACCAACACTCACTGGTATGATTTCTCCAATTGTTTTATGTATTTGTCCCCAATGTACCTCTTATGTTTTCGTTTTGCGAACATCTTCCAATCGTTGTGGTTTCTTTTTTTTAAATTTAATTTCGGAAATTTTGTATTATTATATGGACAGACCATGCACCACTGTTTTCATGGCGGCTTGGGGCAAAGAAAAGTTATAATGTACAAACTAGAAGTTTGCTTTCTAAATCAGCCCCCGAACTTCATCTAATCTACTGACATTCTGTAAGTTTAACTGTGCGTTTAAACTAGTTACCGAAACAAGTCAGAATATTGCAGATCGTAAAAGGGCAACGCGTATCGAATACAATACAGTCTAATCTGTTTTATAAGGTTGTCAGTAAATCCAAAAATCATATATGTTCTCTATCTATATCCGTCGATTAAATCTAACATACAGCTATATCTAGCTTACATCCGGGCTGGAGAGTAAAAATCAAGACGATTTAAATCGTGACTTTTACCTCACTAGTTTTACTATATAACGATTTCAATCAAACCTTTCTCGTAAAAGTAATTCCGAAAATGTTTTTTTTTACTGACCTTTTGTCTATCATTTGATGCTTTCTACGTGAATTTGTTTTGTATTAATTTCAAAGAATCATCAAGCATGACCGATTTATATCAGGCAAAGCACTCGACCAAAATGCAGTGCTCTTTCGTGTAAACCGAATCACAAAGCTTTTTTTTTTCCTATACCTTTCGCTACATCCTAACATCCTATTCCAAGCAAATCAGAATGTGAAAGAAAAACACAGAAAACTAGAAAGGTGATGTCTTATTTCAAGCAAATCAGTTTGCGAGAAAAAGCGAATAAGGCTTTCTGCTAACTAAAATATATCTCTAAAACATCCATTTATTTTCACCCTGACCCTCTCAATTTGTTTTTGTTGTAGTATGGCTGGGGTTACACCAATAAAAAGTTGTTAATCAAACTGTACTTTAAATGTACAGTCTGCTACGTCTAAAAATGCATGTAGTGAGAGTCACTCATCTTTAGCTACAGTAATTTAAATCAATCTGGATTTGAAGTCGACTAAATCAAGTTTACTTTCTTTATTTCTTTTTTTTTTCTAAGTACTATTTCTTTCTACCCTGCTTAGATGGATTTTTTTTTTTAATCTCAGACAATTTTATTTACTTTGACTAAAATTCTTAAAAAGTTATGTCCTGTTGCTCCAAAGTGGTTCAAATTTCCCCTACTACGTGTAATTACGCTCACGAAAACGCTGTTTACGTGCTTCAGAAATTCGTCTACTCGTCATCCTAGGTGCTCATCAAGTACATAAATTGTGAGGCGTTTCTGTAGCCAATTGTACCATGCATCTTAAAATGCGAATTTTTAATAAAAAAAAAAAGAAAGGAAAAAAGATCATGGAATCATAATGAGGCATTCTGTATGTAATCGCGCCAACTACTCCGCAAAGACTGTCGTGTAAAATCAATCAAACCCTCCCGGATATCAAAGTGGATGTCCAAACGCTATCAGTTCCGAAACGGAGCTGGAATTTTTTTCTAAACGTTGTCCCACGGCGTTGAAGGCTGAGCTTGGTCGTTGGTTGCAGTTTTGACATCTTTATTTATCTCCCCACCATTTCTTTTTTTATCTATCATCATTCGACTTTTATGTAAGATTATTTTTTTTTTCTTCAAGCTCTCTCCCCTGCGCCAGAGCTACCAAGGAGAGCGGGCAGCGCTTTCTTCAATGAAACCGGATTTTTCTCGGGATGTTTGTTGCCTTTCTTTTTTTGGTTTGGAGGAGGGGTCCTTCTTTGAAGAAGACGACGCGGTGTGCCTTTTGTACGCCGTTTTCTCGCCGCTTTTTTATATTTTTAATTTCGTGTGTATAGTAGTACTGGTGGTACTACCTACCATCCCACCCCCTGGTTGTTGATGGTGGTTCTACGGCGGCCGGTTATTCGAGACAGGTTTGCTAGTTCGGAGGTTGTCGTCGCGCTGGTCATGTCGTAGATCATCCCTGTTCACTCGCTAAATTTCTGCGTTTCGGTTATTGTCTTTTTCTTATTTTCGTTTGATTTTGTTTTGTTGGTTTCTTTTTTTTGTGTGTGCGTGTTTGCGAATAGTTGTTTGGGTCGGACTTGCTGGTCGGGAGCAAATGTTTAATACATTTTTGGGCAGCGATGTTCCCTTGCAGGTCGTCTTCGCCGCAGAACACTAATATAATTAAAGTCCCGGGTGGATTTTTTGTTGTTGTTTTCGCCTAAAGGTCTGTGCCAACCTTGATCCACTCGAAAGTATCAGACATACTGAAGGTTCGTTCCGCCAAAAATAGAGAGGTTGCGGTAACTTCAAAGATTATTTTTTAAATTGCCGCTAGAAGAAAAAATAATGTTGTTTTTATTGTTTTTTTGGAGCCTTTAGTGCGCAATGAACCAATTAGTTCGATCGCCACCCCTTTTCGTTTCGATCTGGATGGGTATCGTACCGGCGTACTGTCGTGTATCACCACTGTGTGATGCACTTTGAAGACCCCACGCCAGCGGTCGTACTGCACTGGTTAAAATTTCGCATCTACAGTAGGTAACGATGTCGCCATGTTATGGCAGGCCAAACTCCTGCTGTCTTAAACAACTAACAAGCTCCTGCTGTTTTAAACAACTAACGACTATTTGGCCGGGCGCGTGTATGATGCTCGCTGGTTGGATACGAGCGCTCCGTTACCGGTCGGCTTGCGTTCGGAAACCAATCAAGCCGTCGGCGAACATTCGGGTTCGCGTCCGTGGCCAATCAGTGCGGTGCCGGAATTCGCCGAACCCTGAAGCAATGTCAAGTGCGCAACACGTGTAAATAAAAAAAGTCGCGGGGCGGGGGGGGGGGGGGGGGGGGGGGGGGGCGACATTGATGCTTATTAGGAAATGCATAACTTTAAAAACAGCGAAGGGGGACAAATATATTGTAGACGCCGGGAAAGCGGAGATTACCGAGCACAGGTTATCGGACTGGTGGCATGAGTCAAGGGAAGCATAAAGTTTCGTGGAGAATGGTGGATGAAGGCTTGTGCTTAGCGACGACATGAGATTATTTTAGCCTTCTCCATTGATTGCGAATTTAATCGGAGGTGTATTAATTTTCGTCAGAAGTTTTGGCTAGATGGCGCAAGCCACCGCCCAATTGGAAGGGTTCAGCCGTGTATTTGCATTCATCAATTCGAGATTTTTCGGTCGCGTTACTGGTGGGTTAATATGAAACTGCGTCTCCCCCCCCCCACGAAAAAAAAAAAAAAGAAAAGCACGTTGCATTTATAGTACTAAGTTTTCGCTTGTTGATGAGAGAAAGCGCACCTGGAATTGTCGTCTGCTCGACGCAAATACGGAGATAGCGCTGCAGACGGCAGGCATCTTGGTGCGATTATGCGCGCGTGCTTTGAGCTCATTATGGCCAGCTTTCTCCCCCGACCCTCGGAAAACAATGGCACTCTTTCTTTGTTTCGACCTTCGCTTTTTTTTTTTTTTCTTGTGCATTTTTCTTTGTTTTTATCTTCTGCCGCCTGGTGCGCTTCTGGGCGATAGCGTCAGACCCTGGGAGGACAAGCCAGACTCCTTTCTTGGCAGGGACCGACGCCATTTTAAGTGGGGCTTCCGAAGTCGCCCCATTGTGCCTTGCGATATATACGTATATATATATAAAAGAGACGGC